AGACGGACCAAGAGGCCCCAAGACGGGCCCAAGAGGGACTCAGGAGGGATACCGAGAACTCAAAATGGAGCCCTCCGTCCCAGAAGGCGCCCAGGAGGTCCCAAAGAGGCCCCAAGAGGCCTCCAAGAGGCCCCAAGATGTCGCCAAGAGGCCCCAGGAGACTCCCAGGAGGCCCAAAAGAAGCCCCAGAAGGCTTCAAACATGTCTCCCAGGCGCCCCCGAACGGCCTCTCAACAGACCCCAAGAGGCCCCCCAAAGAAGCATCTTGACGACGACTCTATTTCGCCCCATCGAGAGACGACCCCCAGGGAACTGCTTCACCATCAAAACTCCCCACGCAACGCGTCCGAACGACACCCGCCCCCAAGAGCGCAACATGGGCAACGAACGCACAGACAAAAACCAGCGATGCCATATCACGGGCCGGCGGAATGAGCGAAGCGATTCAATAAAACACCGACGCTGGGTGAGATTCCAGCCCTCGGCGAGGGGTCGATGGGCCCGGGTGCCCACGCATCAACAAAAATCGAAGCGCCCGATATCTGGGAGTCCGAAGAAATCTGCGGTGATTGTCCGGAATCCTAGTGGATCTCCAATCTAGGAGCATCTGAAAAATCCACGGCTGGAAACGAGGGCCTTGCGCACTGAGCATTTGTCAGGAGAGAGGGCGTCGCCGTGGCCACGGCTGGGAAGAAATTGTCTGGAAGAGGCCCAGGTCGGCAAGATCGGTCAGCATCGAATCGGGAACTCCGATCAAATCGAAATGTGCGTCGGATCGGGCGAATTATATTGGCACACGGAGCCGAAACCGAATCGGAGCGGCTGCGCCAGGATGCGCAACAGCGCCACGTAATCGGATCGGGCCGAGATCGATATCGGTCGGATCGATCGCTTCGGAATGGGCACTGGGAGGCCCATGAGAAAGCACCCAGAACGAATAAGAACATCGCCGCCGGCGTCGTCGCGGCCGCCGTCGTGCGGCGTGGGAGGCCGCCGTCCCATCACCATCATCATCACCACCACCACCATCATCATCATCATCATCATCATCATCATCATCATCATCATGATCATTATCACCAACACCACCACCAACACCATCGGCATCCTCACCATGATCGTCATTATCACAAACAGTATCGCCATCATCATCATCAGCATCATCATCATCATCATCATCATCATCATCAGCTTCTTCCTCCTCCTCCTCCTCCTCATCATCGTCATCATCAGCATCAGCAACATCTTCATCATCCCCACCGTCATCTTCTTATCTTCATCGTCAGAATCCCCTTCCTTGCACCCGCTCGTCCTCCACGGCCCCACCATCAGCGATGGTCATCCTCTCCCTCCTCATCCCTCACCCCTGATCTGTCTCTGCCCGCACACCTCTTTCCCTCCCACACCTTCTCCTCCACACTATCCTCATCTCTTTTCCTGCCTCCTCTGCCTTCTCCGCGGCTTCCCCCTCCTCCTCCGCTTCCTCCAAGAACCCCAACTGACACCCAAGAACTTCCCGAACCGCCCCACCAAATTGGAACTCCCATGATATAATGATGCTCCTTGTCCATGTCCACCCTGTGTTTCCACTCCTCCTCCACATCATCATGCCACCCTCATCACCATCACGACTGACATCATCGTCACCAGTATTCTGGGCAGCGCATCGCCAACATCACCACCATCATCATATCACGTCATCCCGCTTCACCTCCTTCTCGTCATTCTCCACTTCCTGTTCACCCTCTCTCTACTGCATCCTTCTCCTGAACGTCCTCTCAGCACATCCAGAAAGCATTCCGAAGCAGCGGACAGCCACCGAGCGCCACCGAAGCCCGCCTAATACAACATCACTCTTCCTTGCTTGTCTCAATCCTCATCTCATCCTCCGTCCCCTATCCGCCATAATCTCCTCAAACCTATTTAGCAAAGATCCCTCTTATCCCAATCCCCCTTCTTCTCCTCATCCGTCCTCTTGCTCGTCTCTCCGACTCCTACACATGCTGCTGCTGCTGCTGCTGCTTGTCCTCCTCCTCCTCCTCCTCCTCCTCCTCCTCCTCCTCCTCCTCCCTAGAAGCCGACCCATCGACATATCATGGAACCCGCTGCAACAAGTACTTTGAGGTGAAGCTGGGCGTGGCAACGGGTTCCCCGGGGAGGCGCCCCCAGCAGAAAAACACGCTCCCCTCCCTCTGAGCCCTCCTCATCCTCCTCGGCATCCCTCCGCGTCCACCCACCTGACGGCGACGACGACCTCGAGGACGACGACGACGGAACTGGCGACGGCGACGAAGATGAATCGAAACGACGACGACGACGATGAAGACGACGACGACGATTACGACGACGACGACGACGACGACGACGACGAGAAGCAACCGATGACAACGACGACCGACGACGACGACGACGGCAAACGACGGCAAACGGCGACGGACAGACGAACGACGACGGATGACGAGGACGGACATACGACGACGGACGACGACGACGACGACGACGACGAGGATGGGCAGCGGACGAACGACGACGAAGACGACAATGATTACAATGGCTACGATGGCGACGAAGTTGGTCACCCATGACGACGACGGCGACGGCGACGGCGACGACGACGGCCAGACTCGGCGACGACGGACGACGACGACGACGACGACGACGACGACGACGACGACGACGACGACGACGACGACGACGACGACGACGACACCGACAACGGCCACGCCTCGCCGCTGCGCGTCCGGGTCACGGCGTCGGACTGCTGCGGCGCCGCGGGCTGCGCGGTGCTGCCGCCGCCGGACGCGCTCGGAGGCCTCCCGCGCGCAAGGGGGGTGCCCCTGGTCTGCGGCGCGCGCCGACCACGGGCGGCGAGCAGATCCGCATCCGCGCCCTCGCGGCCCGGACTCCGGGGGCGCGATCCCGCGGAGGCGCGCTCGCGCGGAGACGTCTGCGCGCGGGGCACCCGCGAGAGAGCGCGCCCCCCGCATCCGCGGGGCCGCGGCCCAGGGGCCCGAGCCTCGAGGCGGCGGAGGCGGCCCTGCCCGTGTGCCCACGGAGCAGAACGGGATGGCGAGGCGGCGGCCCCCGCCGGCGTGGGGCTTCGAACGACGGCGCTCTCCGGTGCCCTCAAAAATGGATCCGGGGACGAACAAAAAAAAACTCGGGGAAGCGGTCGGGGGGCCGCGGGTGGGCAGAATCAGATCGGCGGGCGTATAAGGGAAAATAGGCGGGGGGGCTTCTGGGAAGGCGGGGGCCGTCCCAGAAGCCCGCCTGGCTTTTCAAGAGTGCTCCAAGACTTCCGGGGGCCCTTCTCACCCAGACCCCCGACGTCATGAATTTTCATGACGCGGACCCCCCGCGGTTTAACCTTCTTCCCTGGGACCAGTTTTTCATCCTGAGTCGCTCTCTGACGGTCCCGAGGGCCGGTGAGGGCCCCCAGAGGCCGAAAATAGCGAAAAACTCCCCGTCGTGATTTGTGCATCGCCCGAGGGGCTCTGGGCAAGAGGCCCCTCGCCTTCCTCGAAGCTCCCCCCGCCTTCGTGGAAGGCCGGCCCCCTCCTGTCGCCGGCGCCTTGCGCGCGACACCGGTCTGGGCAAGAGCGACCTCCGGAGATAGCACGGCCTGCCGATCGCTGCCTGCGATGCGGCAGCTCGTGGCTCGCGTGCCTGGGTGATGCCGACCTCCTCCTCCTCCTCCTCCTCTTCCTCCTCTTCCTCCTCCTCCTCCTCCATTCGCTACGCGATAGATCTGAATCTCTGAACCTCCTCCTCCTCCTCCTCCTCCTCCTCCTCCTCCTCCTCCTCCTCCTCCTCCCCCTCCCCCTCCCCCTTCTCTCCCTACTCCCCCGTCTCCCCCTCCTCCACAATTACTCAATATGAATACTACTCTCCCTCTTCCCCCGATGGCGGCCTGAAAGTATTCGACCCCCCCCGCGTATTGTTTTTTACACACAGGATTCCCGGGAGTTGGGTTTTCGCCTGCGTTTTTTTTCAAAATGCTGCTCTCGCTGAGGCGCCGGCCTCATTTCTGCTCCCGAATCGTTCCGGATCGTGCTCCCGCTGCAGCGTGGGCCTCATTTTCGGATCGGTGTTTGGCCTCCGTCGTTCAGGATGGCGTTCTCGCCCCAGCGCGGGCCTCTTTCTCGCGCGCCCATCCGCCCGCCACCACCGCGCCGCACAACCACCACCACCACCACCACCACCATAACCACCACCAGCACCACCACCACAACCACCACCAGCACCACCACCAGCACCACCACCAGCACCACCACCAGCACCACCACCAGCACCACCACCAGCACCACCACCACCACCACAACCACGCACACACGCACGCACGCACGCACGCGCACCACCACCCACTACGCACGCGCGCGCGGAGCCACAGGTCCGTTACGACACGCGTCCGCGGATAGAGAAAATCAGCGCCATGGTAAGGGATGGGAGGGAGGGGTAGGACGTCAGAGATGACGCGAGCGCACCTAGCTTGCCCTCTCCCCCTCCCCCCTCCCCCTGCCCCCCTCCCTCCTTCCCTCTCTCCCTCCCACCCTCCCTCCTTCCCTCCCCCCCCCCCGGCGTCCCCCTGAGAGCCGCGCGCCAGAGGACAGGGGTCCCTAAGGGCTGGTCGACTTTTCGCCAATCGACCTGTGGGGATCGAGCCAGAGAAAGCCAGGCGGATGCAGACAGATCGAGGTACGTCCAGGTCAGTCCAGGCAAATCGGGAGACATCCGGGCAAATCCAAGTAATTCCAGAAATCTCAAGGGGAAGTTGGAGCAATTCGCGGCCGCTCCAGCGCGAGTCGAAGGACGGCAGAAGTCGTCAAACCTTTAACGAAAGGATCGCCCCAAAAAGTGTGTTTCGTTCTCGCTTCGTTTTCGATGTCCCTCGTTCTGTCTCTCCGATCCACCTCTGCAGCAGAACGAAGTCAAAACGAAAACGGTCCACGAAATCACCAGAACACAGTTTAGCTCGAGCCCAGGTGCCTGGGTTTGGGCCCCGGGCGCCCCCCGAGAGCGGAACACCAGACACTCCGGCGAAGGGGCCACTCCTGCGTGCAACTGACCCTCTGGAACGAGGAAGCCCTGGGCCTCGGGGATTACCCTCGTGGATGCCATGACAATGGACACCCTAACAGTCCTATCATTGAATTCAACATGTGTCTAAGCTGTGAAAAACATGTTCTAAAAATGTTTCAACCCTGTTTGCTTAGCATATTTAAAACCTGTTTGAAACATTTGTTGGACATCTGGAAATTATTTGGCAGCATGCTTCCTCTCCATTGATCGTCCTCCACAAACCCAGACTCCCTCGGGTTATGCACACAAATCACGACGGGGAGTTTTTCGCTGTCTTCGGCCTCTGGGGGCCCTCACCGGCCCTCGGGACCGTCAGACCAGGACTCATGACGAAAAACGGGTCCCAGGCAGTGGGTCCAGACCGCTGGGGGTCCGCGTCATGAAGCATGTATGACGTCGGGGGTCTGAGGACCCGGGCCTCGGGGATGAGGGGGGAAGTTCCGACTTCGAAGAGCACCGTTTCTGCAGCTTTTTGACGGCGAAGCGTGCTCAAGCGTCGAGGCTGCGTGCAGGGTTCCTGGTTTCCTGCAGCGCCAATGGACAAAAACAACAAATACCTGCGTTGACAACCATCTTCCCTTCCTCGCATTAGGAATGAGGTTGGAGCTTGCAACTTCGAGGATCGATGTCAAGGTTTCAAAAAGCGTTGTTCGCCCTTGTTGGAGTTTCGAGGAGGCGTCTCGACGCCAAGGCCGAGTCCACCTCTGAGTTCTGTCCAGAGCGCGCCTCAGGAGAGGTCCAGGGGCAGACTGCGGGGGCCCGCAGCTGAAACCCCTTGCGCCGTGCAACATTGCGACGGAAGGCATTCTTGAAGGGGCCCATTGGCACATATATATATATAATATGTATTTATATATGTGTGTATATATATGTGATACCACAGAAAAACCAAACATCATATCTTTAGGGCTGTAGTGCTATACGGCTATAGGGCTATAGGGCGGTATGGGCGATAGGGCTATGGGGCTATAGGGCTATAGAGCCATAGGGCTATAGGGCTATAGAAGGCTATGGAAGGCTATGGAAGGCCATTGGGCTATAGGGCTATATGGCTATAGGGCTATGTGGCTAGGGCTATAGGGCGATAGAGCACCCGGGCATGGGCACCCGGGCACCCCCGCGCACCTCAGGGCACCCCAGGGCACCTCCCGGCACCCCTGGGCACCTCTGGGCACCCCTGGGCACCTCCGGGCACCTCCGGGCACCCCTGGGCGCCCTGGCAGCCAGGCACCCGGGCACCCGGGCACTGCAGGCACCCGGGCATCCGGGCCCGCCGCCGAAATCGGCGGCACACCTCACCTAACCATCTGAATCCGCTACGACCCCTACCCTACAAAGGCAAGCTCTGATTGGGGAATATATACACACATACATCTGGAGAAAGGCGCAAAACCCAGAATACCCCATAATATGTCATCTTGTTATACATTTTCTGGGCTTTCGTATTCCCCTCCACTCCCCAGGTCTTCCCGCATTATCCTGGACATCAACGATTCTGCGAGTCTGTGTCTAGCTTCCCCTCCTGAGTTCGCAAGCCTTGCTCAATCGCTGGGGGGCCCTCGCCGGGCCGCGGGGCCGTGCCAGAAACGACTGGTGCGGGAAAGCTGGCCCCAGGAGGGAGGTCAGGACCTCCGGTGGTCCACTCTGTGAAAATCAACCACGACGTGGAGGCCTGGGCAGGGAAGGGGCAGGAGGGACAGGGGGAAGGAAGGGGCAGTTTAAAGGGGGGGGCCAACGTGCACGCATGTTGATGTTTGGCACGCGTGTTGATGTTTGGACTGGTCAAGACCTCCAGTGGTCCACGCTGTTAAGCCAAGCCACGACGTGGTGGCCTGGGCGGGACGGGGCAGGGGCAGGGGGGAGGAAGGGTAAGTTAGTGCACGTTTTCTTATTCGGCGTGTCGGCAGTGGGCGGAAGGGGGGCGGGGGAGGGGAGGGTCTGGCTCCGGACTTCTGCTTGGTATGACTGCTCGGAGCAGTGCGTCGTATGGGGGGAACTCCACCTGCTTGAAATAGGCGCCAAAAACAGGGGATGCGAGGGCCCGCGCTGGTACGCAAAACAATGAATACGAAAGCGATCACCAACGTGCGCGCATGTTAATGTTTGGCACGCCGTTGTGCCATCTGTTGATGTCTTTGAGTCTGTGCACGCCGCGTCGCGGGCTGCATGTATTCACGCGGCGGTTGCAGTGCATCAGCGTTGGGCATGCAACACTGTTGCCACGGAGCATACGCTGTCGACTCACATCTGGATCAAGCATGGCGCCCGCACTGATGGGAGGCTGCTTGCTAAATCGGATGGGGTTCACCGGTTGTGCCAATCAAGTTGTCGACCCAGCTACGCCTCATCGCGTACTGGTCCAGACCACAGAACTCTTGTTGACTGCTGGTTGTAGCGAACACATCGCCGCCGTCAGCCGAGAGAATTCCGTAATTGGATGCCCTCGACGCCGCGGCCGGCCGTGCCGCAAGGAAGGCTGGACAAACCAGGCCCTCCGCGGACGGACCTGCGAAGCAGGCGCCTGCCGTGCGAACGACTCTCGGTCCTCTCCCTGCCCCCCCTTGCGCACGATCTGTTTGTTGGTGACCTCATGAACCGACTGCCTGTTGTGTGCCCCCTGTGGGGAGAGCCTCCGCCGGCAAAATAAGGGGTGGGCAGAGCTGGGGAAGGACGAGGACGGGAGAAACGGCGAGGCTCAAGAGGAGGGAGGCGAGGGGGAGGGGCGGCAGGGGAGAGGAGGACAAGGAAGAGGGTCGGGAGGAGAAGGCGGGGGGGGAGGGGGAAGGACAGGACCAGGAGGGGCAGGGCGCCGGCGATGACGAGGCGCAGGCGGAGGAAGGCGAGGGGCAGAGCCGGCAGGGGCGAGGAGGAGGAGTAAGACGGGGACCGGGAGGGGAGTGGGCCAAAGAGGAGGAGGGGGAGGAGAGGGGGAGGGACGACCCGGGCGGCAGCGGGGCCGAGGAGGCGAATCAGCAGCAGAGGGTGGGGACGACGAGGAGGACGGGGAGGAAGGAGGCGGAGGAGGAGGAGGAGGAGGAGGAGGAGGAGGGGGAGGAGGGGGAGGAGGAGGAGGAGGAGGAGGAGGAGGAGGAGGAGGAGGAGGAGGAGGAGGAGGAGGAGGAGGAGGAGGAGGAGGAGGAGGAGGAGGGAGGAGGGAGGAGGAGGAGGAGGAGGAGGAGGAGGAGGAGGCGGACGAGGAGGAGGGAGGAGGAGGAGGAGGCGGAGGAGGAGGAGGAGGAGGAGGAGGTGGAGGAGTCCGCATGGCCAACGACAGCACGGCTCACAGGGGAAGGATGCCATCCTGGGGTGCCCCCCCCCCCCCTCTGGAGGGCCGCGGAGGTGGCGTTGGGTCGCGGGCTGTGGCCCCCCCCCCTACCTCGCTTTCTCCGCCTCCCGCAGTTGGACAAACAAGTGGAACCCTTGACGCCGCGCCCCCCCCTCTCCCCCCAATCTCAAAGTTGGCCTCATGCATTCGGCAGCACAGGCCTGAGAGGACGACCACAGAAAAAAAGTGGACCCCCCAGGGCCTCCCGGAGGCCGAAGCCAACTCTGCAAGTGCGGGGAGGAAGGGGGAGGAAGGGGTGGGGTGGGGGGGGGGGGCGAAAGCGGGGTCGAAGCCGAAAGGGCTCCACACGGGGTCGAAGACGAAGGGGCTCCCCTTTTGTGCCCCCTTACCGTCCTGCGCATGCCGCTGCACCGCTCCGTGCCATGCCTGCTCTCTGCCCAGGTCCTCCTGCAGGCCGACTGCGAGCATGCGGCCCCAGCTCGGAGCCAGGCGGTGGCGCCCGCGACCCCCTCGAGCCTCGAGCCGCCTGCTCCTGCCGCCCCGCAGCAGCGAACCACACGCAAAAACGCGCTTGTAGGCGTTTTGCTCATTCCACAGAGCCTGGGTTTCGACATTTGGGCCGAAGGCACAGGCCTCCTAGATGGGGTTCGAGCAGATGGGGTCGGAGGATGGCGCCGCGTCGCCGAGACATCGGCGATGCATCGGCGGTGCACCAGCGATGCATCGTCGACGTGGGCGAGGCATCGGCGACGTCGGCGCGAAGCAAAATCGGGCTCCACATCGAGCCGCATCGCCGATGCATCGGCGATGCGGCGCGATCCTCCGAGCCCATCTTCTCGGACCCCATCTAGGAGGCCTAAGAGTTTTTCATTCGCAGAAGCTCTACTTCGACATTTGGCCGAAGGGTGGGGGAGGGGGGGGGACGTCTGGGTTTGGGCCGGTGCTTGGTCGATCAGCGTTCGCCACTCGCGCAAGCAGGCTCGGGCAAGGGGGGCCCTGACCAATCGCCGCAAGCAGCCGCCCAGAGCAGCCAAGTTCTAGTCTACGGGGGGGGAAGGGTGGGGGGGGGCCCGCGCCAATAGGCGAAGCAACACGTAGAAACGGCAGCCTTGACCTACTTCTCTCCTGTATGGACGGCTCTGGGGGCCTCTGGGGACGTCCAGAAGACGCCGCCTCCCCAGACATCCGGCTGCTCCAATTTTTTCGATGCGTGGGTCCTCCGGGGTATGGATCACTTCCCTGGGACCAGTTTGTCCCGAATCGTTTTTTGACGCTCCCAAGGCCCGGCGAGGGCCCCCGAAGGCCGAAAACTGCCCAAATCCCGCCGCTCCAATTCTTTGAGAGCGTCGGATCTCAAGCTCTGGGGAACTGTTGGGGCCGCCTCCGGGGGAGGGTGCCGGCGGTCCAGGAACGGTGCCGCCTCAAGAAAAACCTACCAGGTTGGACAGCGTCCCCCTCGCAGCTGAAGGCAGACGAGGGCGGAGACGAGGATGGAGAGGAGGAGGATGGAGAGGAGGATGCAGAGGAGGAGGCGGAGGAGGTGAAGGAGAAGATGGAGGAGATGGAGCGGAGGATGGAGAGGAGGATGGAGAGGAGGATGGAGGAGGAAGAGGGCGATGACGAGGGCCACGAGGAAGTTGAGCACGAAGCGCTAGAGCGGAACGGTGAGCAGGATGAGCAGGGAGGAGAGAGGAGGAGGAGGAGCAGGAGGAGAAGGAGGAGGAGAAGGAGAAGGCGGAGGAGGAGGAGGAAGAGGAGGAGAAGGCGGAGGAGGAGGGAGCCCTGCGTCGTCCCCGAGGGATGGGCAGGATGGAGGCCAGGAGAGGAGGAGGAGGAGGAGGAGGAGGAGGAGGAGGAGGAGGAGAAGGAGGAGGAGGAGGAGGAGGAGGACGGGGAGGGAGAGGAGAGGAAGACCAGTACAAGGAGAGGACGACGAGGAGGAGGAGGAGGAGGACTAGGAGGAGGAGGAGGAGCAGGAGGAGGAGAAGGAGGAATGAGGAAGACGAGGAGAAGGCGGAGAAGAATAATGAGACCAATATGGGGACGGGAAGGTGAAGACGAAGGCGATTAAAACAACGACGAGGACGACCATGATGGGGGCAGGAGGAGAAGGTGGAGGAGGATCAGCGAATGAGGACCAGCATCGAGGAACGAGCACGTGGACGAGGACGAAAGAGCAATTCGCCATGACGTAATGGAGTCCCGAGGGAAACGCGCCCTGGACACATCCCAGCCCCCCCGAATGTGAAGGGCACCCTGCGGTTCTGCGAATGGAGAAGGGCACCCCCGACTGTGAAGGGACCCACGACTTGGAAGGGCCCCCTGGGAGTGGCGAATCACCTCGGGCCCCCTTGGTCCTGGAATTGCAATCCCTCGCATTGCGAAACTGACGACGCATGGCTGCCGGCTCCGCTGGCGACCCGAAGAGGCGCGCCTCTCAGCCCCGCTGCTGCGCCGCAGCGCCTTGATGGCGCCGGCGCCGCCGCCCGCCACTCCCGCAGCGGCTGCCTCAGATTGTCGTCTCCGCCACCATCCTCGTCTCCGCCAAATGCCGTCGCCGCCGACGTCGTCGCCCTTGCCGCCGTCGTCGCCGTCGTCGTCGTCGTCGTCGTCGCCGCCGCCGTCGTCGTCGTCGTCGTCGTCGTCGTCGTCGTCGTCGTCGTCGCCACCGCCGCCTCTGCCGTCGTCGTCCTCGCCGCCGCCTGCCGCCTACAACACGTGGCTTACCCCACGCAGCCTGCACCACACAGGCTTCGCCGCATAGCTCGCACCGCCTAGCTTGCGCAATAGATAGATACGTACATAATTAAATATATACACACATGTGCGTATGCTAATACAGAGTATGTGCACGTATCTGTAGAGCTATAGACTACACCGCACAAGCTCTCTCTCTCTCTCTTTGAGCTCCACGCTGACAAACAAGTTTGTAGGTTCGTATTGAGGCAATGTTCGAAAGCAGCACGAAGGTTGCAATAGCTCGTAGCGGTTTACTGGAAGTCTTAGGATGTATCCAGAACGAGATAAGAAAAAGCTGAGAAGGCGATGACCCCGAAGTGACGCCTAACACTGACTGAGAGCTGACACTGAGGGGGGGTTGTGTGACAAGTATTGCGAGGGATTGCGAACATCATGTGGGTAGCCCTCAAATTCATATGCCGCCACCCCACCAATCACAGTTAGGTGGCCCACAGTGCTGGGAGGAGGAGGAAGAGGATAAGGAAGGAGGTGGGAGGGGGACGAAGAGAACCCACAATAGGAACAGAGAGATCATTGTGCAGGAGGACGAGAAACACTTCGGAGGAGTATGATGTCTGGGGAGGGAAAAGGGGAGGACGAGAAGGGATGATGTGAGGTACAGAGCAGCATAACAATATACATGTATAGTGATACCAGCGAAGAAATGAGATAGGAAGAGGAGAGCGACAAGGGACACAAGGAGAGAAGGATGGAGAGACGGATGGAGAGAAGGATGGAGGAGAAGGAGAAGGATAACCAGAGGAGAACGACGAGGAGGCAGAGTTGGAGAAAGAATTGAGACATGTGGGAAGAGGAGAAGTTAAGAGGCAGAGGAGGGTAAGAAGGAGGGATGATGGAGGGAAAGAGAAAAGAGGAAGAGGATGAGGAGCAGCACAAGGAAAAGCCGGAGATGAGGAGAAGTACAGTTACGAGGGTTAGAAAGGCAAGAGGAGGAAGAGAAGAGGGCGGCGAAGGCGGAAGATGACATGGAGGTGGAAGGTCGGTTCGAGGTAGTCTGTTGTTTTCTCTCGTGTCTTTTTTTTCCTCGGGGTGTTGTGTTTTTTTTCCCCCGGAAATTGCTTTTTCCCAACTCAAGTCGTTTTCTCCACTCGAAAGCTTTGTTCCCAATCATCCTGTAGTGTTGGGTCCTGGTTTTGAAGAGAGAGCGCACCGCGTCTCCTCCTTCCTCCTCACCCTCCTCCCTCCTCCAGTCCTCCAACCCCTCCTCCCTCCTCCGCAGTTCGCATGCGTCTCTCCCACTCGTGGCCCCAGAGTGAGATCCACCGAAGGTCCCATTTTGGCGCAGTTCGCATGCGCCCCCACCGCCCAGTACATCGTCTCGTGGCCCCAGAGGGAGCTCCACCGAAGGTCCCCAGTGGCGCAGTTTGCATGCGTCCCCCCCCCGCTCAGAACGGCGTTTCGTGGCCCCAGAGGGAGCTCCACCGAAGGTCCCAGTGGCGCGGTTCGCATGCGTCCACCCCGCCCAGTGCATCGCTTCGTGGCCCTTCGGGAGCTCCACCGAAGGTCCCAGTGGCACAGTTCGCATGCGTACCCCCCGCCCAGTACAGCGCTTCGTGGCCCCCGCGGGAACTCCACCGAAGGTCCCAGTGGCGCAGTTCGCATGCGTACCCCCCCGCCCTGTACAGCGCTTCGTGGCCCCAGAGGGAACTCCGCCGAAGGTCCCGATGGCGCAATTCGCATGCGTCCCCCACCCCGTCCAGTACAGCGCTTCGTGGGCCCAAAGGGAGGAGCTTACCGAAGGTCCCTGTGGCGCGGTTCGCATGCGACCCCCCCGCCCAGTACATCGTCTCGTGGCCCCAGAGGGAGCTCAACAGAAGGTCCCATTTTGGCGTAGTTCGCATGCGCCCCCACCGCCCAGTACATCGTCTCGTGGCCCCGGAGGGAGCTCCACCGAAGGTCCCAGTGGCACAGTTCGCATGCGTCCCCCCCATCCACCCAGTACAGCGTTCCGTGGCCCCAGAGGGAGCTCCACCGAAGGTCCCAGTGGCACAGTTCGCATGCGTCCACCCCGCCCAGTACAGCGCTTCGTGGCCCCAGAGGGAGCTCCACCGAAGGTCCCAGAGGTGCAGTTCGCGTGCGTCCCCCCCGCCCAGTACAGCGTTTCGTGGCCCTTCGGGAGCACCACGAAAGACGATACTCACAACTGCCGTACTCACAATTGCATACGGCTGGATCCTTCGCCAAGCAAATGTTTTTTTCCTCGGGGGGTGGTGCTCCCTCGGGGGGGAGGGGGGGACGCTATCCCTCTCCAGGGGTGGGGGCCGGGATGGGCGAGCTGGGTAGGCATGGCGGGCGCTCCGGTAAGGGAACAAAAAAGTGGAACCCCCTCGCCGTCGACACAATGCTCATCCACCCCCTTCCCCCAACTCAAGTTGGGCTCTGGCGTGGTGGAGGCCCCGGGGGCTCCTTTCAAGCCTGCGCTCTTGAATGTCTGAGAACAACTTTAAACGTGGGGGGAGGGGGGTTCCACTTTTTTGTCCATCTACGGTCCAGCTCGGTCCGGGCCCACTGGGGCTCCGATTTGCTGGACCAGCGGACTAGGGGCGTGCGGAGATGGCCCAAGATGGCCTCCAAGATGGTCCTGATGCAAGGCGGCGGAAACAGCCCCGAGAGAGCCCAAGATGATCCCGAGGTGCCTCCAGATGGACCCAAGACGGCCCCTACGGTTAGGAGAACACTAGGGCCAACATCTTGGCCCAATGTTTGCCCGACGTTCCATCACATAGGCGTGTCCAACAGGCAGGGGGCGGCGACGATTCGCCGTAGGCATCTCTGATGATAAAGGGGCCATGCTGCACCTCCTACTCCTTCTCCTCCCTTTTCCTCCTCCTGCCCCTGCTGCTGCTGCTGCTCCTCCTCTTGCTGCTGCTTTCTCAGCAGCGGGAGCTCCACCGAATGCCCTAGTGGCAGTGCCCACATGCGCCCCTGCCACCCATGTCGGCGCACACCCCACACGCCTCGTGGCCCCACAGGGAGCTCAACCGAAGATGAAACTCACAACTGCGTTACTCAAAACTGCATATGGTTGGGTCCTCGGCCAGGTTTTTTTCTCCCCCATGGCGGGGGCCGAAGGGGGGGCAGGGGGCCGATGAGGCCCCGGAGCTCCAAGAGGACGTTACGGTGGCGCTGGAGAGGTGCCAGGGCAGCACCTCAGGGGCCTCGCGGACGCATTCTTGAAGCCTCTGGGGGGCCGGCTCGGGCCACTTTTGGGCCTCTTGGCTCTTGGGGGCCTCTTGGAGGCTTCGTGGGGCTTCCTGCAGCGCTCGAAAAGGCGATGACGTGAGAAACACAAAACCACATGGTAAATCAAGCATGTCGTGTTTTCGGAGTAAGGGCGTTAGGGTAAAGGCCTTAGGGTCTCAAGCAAGGCCTTAGGGTCCGGGTCTTAGGGTTCGGGTCTTAGGATTAGAGAATTAGGCTTCGGGTATTATAATACCCGAAGCCTAATTCTCAAATGCTATAGGCTAATATGATTCTCTCTGACCCGTGCCCTAACACTAGTACGCTTAACCTATAGGTTAAGCGTACTAGTGTTAGGGCACGGGCGTTAGGGTCTTAGGATTAGGGAATTCCGGTTCGGGTCTGAGGGTTAGGGTCCCAGGCTTAGGGACTGAGGGGTGGCGACTTGGATTAGGGTCTGAGGCATACGGCATTGGTGCTGTGGCCTTTGGGTTAAGTCATTCGGGTAAGGGTCTCGGGGTTAAGGTTTTAGGGTGACGGCAGTGGGGTTAGGGTTTCAAGGTGGGTCTTAGGGTTCGGATACGGGGGTTAGGGTCTTCGGTTTAGTGTCTCAGGGTTAGGGTCTGAGGATTAGGGGACCGTAGGGATGGGGTCTGTGGATTAGGGTCTTACGGTCAGAGTCTTCGGGTGAAGGTCTTCGGTATAGGGTCTTCGGGTGAAGATTTTAGGGTTAGAGTCTTCGGGTTATCACAGTCGAGGGTCTTAGGGTCTCTCGTTCGTTGCCGCGCCCATCACTGCCGCCAGAATCTGGCGGCAGTGATGGATGCGGCGACGACCGACAGATGGAAACAACAAAGTCCAAACGGCCGCGGGGCTCTGATAAGGAGGAAACGAAACCAAGTTAAAACGGTCGCGGGTCTCTGGTAATGATGCTGCCACAGGATGCGCCAGGCAAGCCCGGAGCCGCGCGAGGGCCGGCCTGCAGTGGGCAAGCCAACACGCGAGGCCTGGGCTTGTGCAGAAACTTGCGGCAAGAAACACGACGCGAGAGACGGTGATGTGGTGGTGATGGTGGTCATCACCGCAGCTGCTCTGCGCGTACCTTGGAGAGAGAGGGAAGGAAATGGGAGGGAGGACGCAACCATCCGATCAGCATCGACAGCCCTGTCCCCCCTGGGTGCAGTGCTGGTGCTTCCGCAAGCCTTTCGTGCTCTAGATTGCACATTCACCGTCACTCCTCCATGCGCGCATAAGCGACAAGCCACATGCTTCACACCAGCAAGCCGAGCGCGCAGTGTGCCCGACTGTCGAAGGCACCGAGTCGGGGCTTACTCCTTGCCTCTGAGCATTAAGCGAGCATGATTTTGAGGACGATCCAGTTCCTGGTCGGTGATGCCAAGTCGCTCAGCTGTCGACTTCAATTCTCGCATGACCTCTGATGAGGGTTCAAAGCGCAACTTCCTCAGCGCGTCGACAGTGGCCGGGATATACATCTTATGCTTGTCGGCGATGGCGCTATTTCGGAGACGCAGTACAAATTGGTTGGCAAGACCCTTCACAATGGACTGGTCGTGAAACACGTCTTTTATACTCAAAAACCAAAGAATCTGAGCTGCTTGTTGAAGGGTGACCCTTGGGATTATGGATTTCAGGTGTGGAGCCAAGTAGCTATACAATGGCTCGACGTCTACATCAAAGAGAATTGTGCCGGTGAGTATACCCATGATCGAGAGCAATGGAAGTTCGCCCGAGTAGCGCCTGCATGCTTCAATGAACTTCATCGCGAGAGCATGTATCATAGCCTTATCCTTCATCGCCTCTGGATCTGCCAATTGTCGCAATGCTACCCGCTTGCGCCGTAGTTTCAACATGACTTCGCTGCTGCTTCGGATTTCCTTGACAACCGACTTGACATCACCAGCGACCGCATTGGCTTTGATGATTTCATCCTCCTCTTGCACACTCCAAGCTGGGCAGAGCCTGTTCCATCTACTCACTAGACCTCTTTCGATCTTCACGACCTCGGCTGCACGTTGGCCATCCGTTGGCCGCATCCCAATGCCGAGCTCATCTCTTGCGTCACGTTTCACAAGAAAGACGGAGTACGTGTTCACATTGTCAACGGCCATGGCACAAAAAGCATCGTATCTCGCATAATCCTTACATATCCTGGCCAATCCGCCGGCCCGCTTTGGGTCTCCAGGCGTGTGAGATTGTTCCCCCCCCCTTTAGCCCCACCGGCAGGGGTCTCGAACTTGCTGGAACAAGTTCGCAGCGAACTTTGCCCGACCGACAATCAAGCCCAATTGTCAAACGGGCCAGCGGCGATAGGTGGGATACCAACACCCCCGATTGGCAACTTGACATTGGGACCCCATTGTCAAACGGGCCATCGGCGACGGGTGGGGCCCCAACCCCCCCGATTGGCAATTTGACAATGGGGCGCCGTTCTGAAACGGGTCATCGGCGATGGGCGGGGCAGGGTTCCAGCGCGCACGATTGGCTATTTGACAGTGGGGCGCCATTGTCACATGGGCAACGACGGGCGGGGCGCGGTGGGATACGTCCCCGTTGCGAAAGTGTATTCATGTTGTCAAAGAATGCATGATGGGAGCTCGCGTGAAAAGGAAATGTGGGGGTGATTTTTCGTTGAAGTTCCAGGCGGGGAGGTATTCACGGCCGCGCGAGAATGCCCGGGAGTGTCTTTCCCCACTGTGAATTTATAGGGGGAGAGATTTCATCCTAAATGAAGTGCACACTATTAGTTGCACAGCAGGGATGCCCTGTAAAGCTCTCCCGCACAGCCGGGCCGATGGTTGTCGTGCTAGGGGTCTGCGGGAGAAAGGGGGCCCCGGCTCGGTGACGTCCTAGTCGTCAGTGCGCAAGATGGCTAGTTTTCGTAACGGGCAAGTGAGTATGCTGAGGGCCACGCTGCATCAAAACGACAACGAGCATACTGAATCACCGCCTTGATATGGGCATGACAACGACGATGACGAAGATGAACCTGCCAATCTGAAGTGTCCCATGCGGAGCGATTGCGGTTTGAGCGGGTCCAAGTCGGAGTGGTTTCCCAGCCTTTTTTTGTGGGGCGGAATGATTATCACAGCGCTGTAGATGTACACCATTATGCTAGAGCCACGCGCGCCCTTCGCGCGCTTAAGTCCTACCCAGGCACAGGCACCGGATGCGTTGCGAAGCGAATGAGGTGGGGAGCGGTTGCAGGAAAAGCGGTGGATAACTGGTGACTCACTGAGGACTGCCAGGCATATAATCCACCCACTGGCCCTCGTAGCCATCGGCCCTCTCGATGAGATGGAGCAACAGCAGCATGATAGCGAAAAGCTCGCGGCCAGAGCGGGAATGGTTAGGCGGAGAAGTCCCCCTCGAACCTCGATCATCGAGTCACCCCGCTGCACCCCCCAGCAGCCTCGAAAGTGGCGACATTTTCGCAGATTGCAGCCCCCCAGGATGGCCAGGTAGGAGGCAAGCTGGCACGCAGGAAGGAGCGAGGTGAGAGGCAGGAGAGAAGAGGGGAGGAGGAGGGAGGCGGCAGAAGGAGAAGACGCGCGGGCAGTGTTTGATTCAAAACAAATACCCAACGCAGGAGGGTTGGGAAAAACTGCCTCCAAGACGCCCCCGAGACGCCTCCCATGAGACCCCATCAGAGGGCCCATGAGGCCCCCAAGACGGCCCCAGAAGGCCCCAAGAGGACCCCAAAGAGCGCCTCCAGAGGCTAAAATGATCGTTTTTTCCCGTTGGCTTTTGAAGGATTTTAGCGTTCTTGTTTTTCCCTACCTAGGCTCTGCCTAGAAGGGTTCTTACTTTAGAGCTTAAAGGGGCCGGGCAGTGGAAAACGCCCCGGGCGGTTCCCCCGGCATCCGCCACGCGGTTCCCCCAGTTACGTCCCCTTAGCTTAGCGTTGCTTATCTCATCTTAGCTTACCCTAGCTTAACTTAGCTTAGGTTAGCTTAGCTTTGCCTAACCTAGCTTAGCTTAGCTTAGCTTAGCTTAGTTTAGCTTGACTTAGCCCAGCTTAGCTTAGCTTAGCATAGCTTAGCTTAAGTTAGCGCAGCATTAGCATAGCATAGCATAGCATAGCACAGCACAGCACAGCATAGCATAGCACAGCATAGCATAGCGCAGCATACCATAGCATAGCACAGCATAGCATAGCATAGCGCAGCATAGCATAACATATCATAGCGTAGCTTAGCACAGCACAGCACAGCATAGCGCAGCATAGCGTAGCATAGCATAGCACAGCATAGCATAGCATAGCGCAGCATAGCATCGCATATCATAGCATAGCCTAGCCTAGCCTAGCCTAGCCCAGCATAGCATTGCGCAGCATAGCATAGCATAGCATATCAGAGCAGAGCAGATCATAGCATAGCATAGCGCAGCACAGCATCCACTATTGCTGCTGCTATATATATATATATATGGCTATAACTACGACGATGAGGAGAAGGAGGACGGCGTTTACCGCTCCTACTAATGTTGCTTTCCTAGAGGCTCCAACTCCTAGGTAGGGTCGCACTGGGATAATTTCTATCCTGAAAGGCCCATGACGGCCCAAGCAGCCTCCAAAATGGCCCCAGGACGGTCCCCAAGAGGACCCCAAGATGGTCTCAAAGGGCCCCAAGACGGCCTAAAGAGGCCCCCAGGACGGTCCAAGAGGCCCCCGACAGAAGCCGAGAGGACCCCCAGACGGCCCAAGACGGCCCAACAGGACCCAAGAGAGCCCCACGGCGGCTGCGAGAGGCCTACAAGTATGCCTCGAAAGGAACCAAGCGACGCAAGAGTGCCGCAAGACAGCCCAAAACGCCCCCAAGAGGCCCCAAGAGGCCCCAAAGAATACCCCAAGAGGCCCCAAGAAGCCCACAAGAGGCCTCCAAAAGGCCCAAAAGAGGCTTCCACCAGGGCCCACAACGTCTGGTCCGCACGTGCTCCGGACGTGTACCCCGCGAAGCGAGAGGAATCTCAATACAGAGTAAGGGTCACTAGTTGAAATTTCGCTGACCATGCCCTTCAATTCAACAAACATGTCCACAATCACAGGGTCAGGCAACGCATAGAAGGCGTACGAGCCGACAATACTGGTGAGGCTGAGGTCCCTGTCTCGGGCTGCGCGGATGAGATCTGGGATATGCGGCGCAAGGGTCCGGAATATCTCGTCCGTCTGGAGATTCCGCTCAATCATGCTCAGGCCGAACACAATTTCGGACAACGGATTGACTTGTTTATCCTTTATCAGATCCGGCAGGGCTTCCAGCACCGCAAGGGTTGCGTGCTCGCGAAGGAGGGCATGCTCGCCTGCGGAAAGGCCAGCGGAGACAACGCCGTCTAGGCGTCCCAGACTATAGATCACATTGCCCAGATAGTGTCCCCTCTCGGTCCAAACACTACGACTGATCTGGCGGTTCTTGAAACTGCTGCTCGACTTCCAGCCTGGAATGTCCTCCATCACCATGAAGAGCAGATTTTTCCATGCATTCGTCTGCCCCGCCTGACTCGAAGCCTCGAAATTAACTTTTGACAGCCGAAGCAGGATCGATGCCCGGTGTAACATATTGGTGTCCTCATGCTCGAAGAGGCTGAAGAGCTCGTCACTCGTCATTGCGGCTTGGATGTTCTTCATCAGACTCGAGGGGGACATGCAGAAGCAACGCACATCTCGAGCATACCTCCGCTCCCTCAGAAAGCATCGCGGCCAGGCACCATGACCACGAACTGGGTCGAGGGTTCTCCCATGCGGGCGACTCGCCGCCCTGCCCGCAGAAGCAGAGCTGCACAGGAACAGTGCTCCGTGGCTGCACACAGCAGCTGCGATGGCAGTGTAAAAGCATGTCAATGTTCCACCAGCACGCCGTCCACGGTGCAAAACCATTCGCGCGACAAGCAGGACGCCAACTGAGAAGAGCAAGCCTGGCCCGTGCATGCCTCGACACCTGAAACCAAACCGGCTTGGGCCAGCGCCGCTGGAGCCAAAACGGCGACGGACGGAAGAGGACATGGAGCAGACTGAGAAGCAGCAGCGCTGGGAGAAGGAGGAGGGATGGGAGAACAACAGAGGCTGAAGGGCCCCTGACCGATGCGGCTTGGTTCTTGCCTGCCTGCCAACCTCCCGGCGCCATGCCGCGCGAGAGCGGCGCTGGCCCAGGTCGCGCACGCCACTTCGCGCACCTCGCCCCGCGAGGCGCGGCGCGCGGGCACCTCCGCGCCGCCGCGCCGCTCCCTCGGAGAAGGCCCGGCGTTAGGTCGGGCGTGTCCCCCTGCAGGCGGATCTTGGACGAAGAATCAAGCATAGCCGACAACATTCAAAAAGAGCCAAAAAATAGGTGACAAATCTTCCCTGAGCCATGTTTTGACAAGTTTTGAACCGTCCTCCTGTAGAAGGGCAAGCCCGACTTTTTAAGGCCAATGGCTCTGGCCCAGGCCGCGACGCGCGAACCGTGATTCTCTTGGCTTGGCTCATGCAGCTCCCATCCCACTTGGGGAGCGCATCCCAGAAATAGTCTCGAGCACCCGGAAGAGTGCCGGAAGAGTGCCGAAAGAGTGTCGGACGAGCGTCGGGCGTGAAAACCCTCGAGCTTCGGCACGCTTCTGGTGCCCCAAAACTCTCTCTGGCGATCGAGGCTAAAAGTAGGCTGGAGCATCACGAGGCCTTGGCGCCCAGCCGCGGGGGACCTCGGCTCTCCTGCCCACCCCCCGGCGCGCCGTCGAGGCGCCCGCCAGGGCCGCGGCGTGCGATGGGCTTCGTGCCGTGACGAGCGCTGCGCTGCTCGACCGCCAAATGCCGTCGCCGCCGACGTCGTCGCCCTTGCCGCCGTCGTCGCCGTCGTCGTCGTCGTCGCCGCCGCCGCCGCCGCCGTCGTCGTCGTCGTCGTCGTCGTCGTCGTCGTCGTCGTCGTCGTCGTCGTCGTCGTCGTCGTCGTCGTCGTCGTCGTCGTCGTCACCGCCGCCTCTGCCGTCGTCGTCCTCGCCGCCGCCTGCCGTCGTCGCCGCCGCCTGCCGCCGCCGTCGTCATCCCCGTGCGCGCTCGCCTTGGCGCCACCCGTGGGCGCCCCGAGGCGCCCGCGGGCGCCTCGCCTATGGGCACCCCGTGCGCTGGCTGGCTCTTCCGGCACTTCGCCCGGGTCCGCCCGTGGGCTCCTCGTGGGCGCCTCGTGGCCATGGCCTGCGCCACACCGCCTACAACACGTGGCTTACCCCACGCAGCCTGCACCACACAGGCTTCGCCGCATAGCTCGCACCGCCCAGCTTGCGCAAAACATAGATACGTATATAATTATATATATATACACATATGTGCGTATGCTAATACAGAGTATGTGCACGTATCTGTAGAGCTATAGACTACACCGCGCAAGCTCTCTCTCTCTCTCTCTCTTTTTGAGCTCCACGCTGACAAACAAGTTTGTAAGTTCGTATTGAGGCAATGCTCGAAAGCAGCACGAAGGTTGCCATAGCTCGTAGCGGTTTACTGGAAGTCTTCGAATGTATCCAGAAAGAGATAAGAAAAAGCTGAGGCGATGACCCCGAAGTGAAGCCTAACACTGACTGAGAGCAGACACTGAGGGGGGGTTGTGTGACAAGTATTGCGAGGGATTGCGAACATCATGTGGGTAGCCCTCAAAATGCATATGCCGCCACCCCACCAATCACAGTTAGGTGGCCCACAGTGCTGGGAGGAGGAGGAAGAGGATAAGGAAGGAGGTGGGAGGGGGACGAAGAGAACGCACAATAGGAACAGAGAGATCATTGTGCAGGAGGACGAGAAACACTTCGGAGGAGTATGATGTCTGGAGAGGGAAAAGGGGAGGACGAGAAGGGATGATGTGAGGCACAGAGCAGCATAACAATATACATGTATAGTGATACCAGCGAAGAAATGAGATAGGAAGAGGAGGGCGACAAGGGACACAACGAGAGAAGGATGGAGAGACGGATGGAGAGAAGGATGGAGGAGAAGGAGAAGGATAACCAGAGGAGAACGACGAGGAGGCAGAGTTGGAGAAAGAATTGAGACATGTGGGAGGAGGAGAAGTTAAGAGGCAGAGGAGGGTGAGAAGGAGGGATGATGAAGAGAAAGAGAAAAGAGGAAGAGGAGGAGGAGCAGCACAAGGAAAAACCGGAGATGAGGAGAAGTACAATTACGAGGGTTAGAAAGGCAAGAGGAGGAAGAGAAGAGTGCGGCGAAGGCGGAAGATGACATGGAGGTGGAAGGTCGGTTCGAGGTAGTCTGTTGTTTTCTCTCGTGTCTTTTTTTTCCTCGGGGTGTTGTGGTTTTTCCCCCCGGAAATTGCTTTTTCCCAACTCAAGTCGTTTTCTCCACTCGAAAGCTTTGTTCCCAATCATCCTGTAGTGTTGGGTCCTGGTTTTGAAGAGAGAGCGCACCGCGTCTCCTCCTTCCTCCTCACCCTCCTCCCTCCTCCAGTCCTCCAACCCCTCCTCCCTCCTCCGCAGTTCGCATGCGTCTCTCCCACTCGTGGCCCCAGAGTGAGATCCACCGAAGGTCCCATTTTGGCGCAGTTCGCATGCGCTCCCCCCCCGCCCATTACATCGTCTCGTGGCCCCAGAGGGAGCTCCACCGAAGATCCCCAGTGGCGCAGTTTGCATGCGTCCCCCCCCCGCTCAGAACGGCGTTTCGTGGCCCCAGAGGAAGCTCCACCGAAGGTCCCAGTGGCGCGGTTCGCATGCGTACCCCCCCGCCCAGTACAGCGCTTCGTGGCCCCAGAGGGAGCTCCACCGAAGGTCCCAGTGGCACAGTTCGCATGCGTACCCCCGCCCAGTACAGCGCTTCGTGGCCCCAGCGGGAATTACACCGAAGGTCTCAGTGGCGCAGTTTGCATGCGTACCCCCCCGCCCAGTACAGCGCTTCGTGGCCCCAGAGGGAACTCCGCCGAAGGTCCCGATGGCGCAGTTTGCATGCGTCCACCCCGTCCAGTACAGCGCTTCGTGGGCCCAAAGGGAGGAGCTTACCGAAGGTCTCTGTGGCGCGGTTCGCATGCGACCCCCCCGCCCAGTACATCGTCTCGTGGCCCCAGAGGGAGCTCCACAGAAGGTCCCATTTTGGCGCAGTTCGCATGCGCCCCCACCGCCCAGTACATCGTCTCGTGGCCCCGGAGGGAGCTCCACCGAAGGTCCCAGTGGCACAGTTCGCATGCGTCCCCCCCATCCACCCAGTACAGCGTTCCGTGGCCCCAGAGGGAGCTCCACCGAAGGTCCCAGTGGCACAGTTCGCATGCGTCCACCCCGCCCAGTACAGCGCTTCGTGGCCCCAGAGGGAGCTCCACCGAAGGTCCCAGAGGTGCAGTTCGCGTGCGTCCCCCCCGCCCAGTACAGCGTTTCGTGGCCCTTCGGGAGCACCACGGAAGACGATACTCACAACTGCCGTACTCACAATTGCATGGGGCTGGATCCTTCGCCAAGCAAATGTTTTTTCCCTCGGGGGGTGGTGCTCCCTCGGGGGGGAGGGGGGGACGCTATCCCTCTCCAGGGGTGGGGGCCGGGATGGGCGAGCTGGGGAGGCATGGCGGGCGCTCCGGTAAGGGAACAAAAAAGTGGAACCCCCTAGCCGTCGACACCATGCTCATCCACCCCCTTCCCCCCAACTCAAGTTGGGCTCTGGCGTGGTGGAGGCCCCGGGGGCTCCTTTCAAGCCTGCGCTCTTGAATGTCTGAGAACAACTTTAAATGTAGGGGGAGGGGGGTTCCACTTTTTTGTCCATCTACGGTCCAGCTCGGTCCGGGCCCACTGGGGCTCCAATTTGCTGGACCAGCGGACGAGGGGCGTGCGGAGATGGCCCAAGATGGCCTCCAAGATGGTCCTGATGCAAGGCGGCTGAAACAGCCCCGAGAGAGCCCAAGATGATCCCGAGATGCCTCCAGATGGACCCAAGACGGCCCCTACGGTTAGGAGAACACTAGGGCCAACATCTTGGCCCAATGGTTGCCCGACGTTCCATCACATAGGCGTGTCCAACAGGCAGGGGGCGGCGACGATTCGCCGTAGGCGTCTCTGATGATAAAGGGGCCATGCTGCACCTCCTACTCCTTCTGCTCCCTTTTCCTCCTCCTGCTCCTGCTGCTGCTGCTGCTCCTGCTGCTGCTGCTGCTGTTCCTCCTCTTGCTGCTTCTTTCTCAGCAGCGGGAGCTCCACCGAATGCCCTAGTGGCAGTGCCCACATGCGCCCCTGCCACCCATGTCGGCGCACACCCCACACGTCTCGTGGCCCCACAGGGAGCTCAACCGAAGATGATACTCACAACTGCGTTACTCAAAACTGCATATGGTTGGGTCCTCGGCCAGGTTTTTTTCTTCCCCAGGGCGGGGGCCGAAGGGGGGGCGGGGAGGGGGCCGATGAGGCCCTGGAGCTCCAAGAGGACGTTACGGTGGCGCTGGAGAGGTGCCAGGGCAGCACCTCAGGGGCCTCGCGGACGCATTCTCGAAGCCTCTGGGAGGCCGGCTCGGGCCACTTTTGGGTCTCTTGGCTCTTGGGGGCCTCTTGGAGGCTTCGTGGGGCTTCCTGCAGGGCTCGAAAAGGCGATGACGTGAGAAACATGTAACCACATGGTAAATCAATCATGTCGTGTTTTCGGAGTAAGGGCGTTAGGGTAAAGGCCTCAGGGTCTAAGCAAGGTCTTAGGGTCCGGGTCTTAGGGTTCGGGTCTTAGGATTAGAAAATTAGGCTTCGGGTATTATAATACCCGAAGCCTAATTCTCAAATCCTATAGGCTAATATGATTCTCTCGTACCCGTGCCCTAACACTAGTACGCTTAACCTATAGGTTAAGCGTACTAGTGTTAGGGCACGGGCGTTAGGGTCTTCGGATTAGGGAATTCCGGTTCGGGTCTGAGGGTTAGGGTCCCAGGCTTAGGGACTGAGGGTTGGCGACTTAGGATTAGGGTCTGAGGCATACGGCATTGGGGCTGTGGTCTTTGTGTTAGGTCATTCGGGTAAGGGTCTCGGGGTTAAGGTTTTAGGGTGACGGCAGTGGGGTTAGGGTTTCAGGGTGGGTCTTAGGGTTCGGATGCGGGGGTTAGGGTCCTCGGTTTAGTGTCTCAGGGTTAGGGTCTGAGGATTAAGGGACCGTATGGATGAGGTCTGTGGATTAGGGTGTTACGGTCAGCGTCTTCGGGTAAAGGTCTTCGGTATAGGGTCTTCGGGTGAAGATTTTAGGGTTAGGGTCTTCGGGTTATCACTGTCGAGGGTCTTAGGGTCTCTCGTTCGTTGCCGCGTCCATCACTGCCGCCAGAATCTGGCGGCAGTGATGGATGCGGCGACGACTGACAGATGGAAACAACAAAGTCCAAATGGCCGCGGGGCTCTGATAAGGAGGAAACGAAACCAAGTTAAAACGGTCGCGGGTCTCTGGTAATGATGCTGCCACAGGATGCGCCAGGCAAGCCCGGAGCCGCGCGAGGGCCGGCCTGCAGTGGGCGAGCCATCACGCGAGGCCTGGGCTTGTGCAGAAACTTGCGGCAAGAAACACGACGCGAGAGACGGTGATGTGGTGGTGATGGTGGTCATCACCGCAGCTGCTCTGCGCGTACCTTGGAGAGAGAGGGAAGGAAATGGGAGGGAGGACGCAACCATCCGATCAGCATCGACAGCCCTGTCCCCCCTGGGTGCAGTGCTGGTGCTTCCGCAAGCCTTTCGTGCTCTAGATTGCACATTCACCGTCACTCCACCATGCGCGCATAAGCGACAAGCCACATGCTTCACACCAGCAAGCCGAGCGCGCAGTGTGCCCGACTGTCGAGGGCACCGAGTCGGGGCTTACTCCTTGCCTCCGAGCACTAAGCGAGCATAGTTTTGAGGACGATCCAGTTCCTGGTCGGTGATGCCAAGTCGCTCAGCTGTCGACTTCAATTCTCGCATGACCTCTGATGAGGGTTCAAAGCGCAGCATCCTCAGCGCGTCGACAGTGGCCGGGATATACATCTTATGCTTGTCGGTGATGGCGCTATTTCGGAGATGCAGTACAACTTGGTTGGCAAGACCCTTCACAATGGACTGATCGTGAAACACGTCTTTAATACTCAGAAGCCATGAGCTGCTAGGGGTAGGCCGACCCTTGGGATCATGGATTTCAGCTGTGGGGCCAAGTAGCTATACAATGGTTCGACGTCTGCATCAAAGAGAATTGTGCCGGTGAGTATACCCCTGATCGCGAGCAATGGAAATTCGCCCGAGTAGCGCCTGCATGCTTCAATGAACTTCATCGCGAGAGCATGTATCATAGCCTTATCCTTCATCGCCTCTGGATCTGCCAAATTTCGCAATGCTACCCGCTTGCGCCGTAGTTTCAACATGACTTCGCTGCTGCTTCTGATTTCCTTGACAACGGACTTGACATCACCAGCGACCGCATTGGCTTTGATGATTTCATCCTCCTCTTGCACACTCCAAGCTGGGCAGAGCCTGTTCCATCTACTCACTAGACCTCTTTCGATCTTCACGACCTCGGCTGCACGTTGGCCATCCGTTGGCCGCATCCCAATGCCGAGCTCATCTCTTGCGTCACGTTTCACAAGAAAGACGGAGTACGTGTTCACATTGTCAACGGCCATGGCACAAAAAGCCTCGTATCTCGCATAATCCTTACATATCCTGGACAATCCGCCAGCCGGCGTTGGGTCTCCAGGCGTGTGAGATTATGCCCCCCCCCCTTACCCCCCCCGGCAGGGGTCTCGAACTTGCTGGAACAAGTTCGCAGCGAACTTTGCCCGACCGACAATCAAGCCCAATTGTCAAACGGGCCAGCGGCGACAGGTGGGATACCAGCACCCCCGATTGGCAACTTGACATTGGGACCCCATTGTCAAACGGGCCATCGGCGACGGGTGGGGCCCCAACCCCCCCGATCGGCAATTTGACAATGGGGCCCCGTTCTGAAACGGGTCATCGGCGATGGGCGGGGCAGGGTTCCAGCGCGCACGATTGGCTATTTGACAGTGGGGCGCCATCGTCACATGGGCAACGACGGGCGGGGCGGGGTGGGGTACATCCCGGTTACGAAAATGTATTCATGTTGTCTAAGAATGCATGATGGGAGCTCGTGTGAAAAGGAAATGTGGGGGTGATTTTTCGTTGAAGTTCCAGGCGGGGGGGTTTTCACGGCCGCGCGAGAATGCCCGGGAGTGTCTTTCCCCACTGTGAATTTATAAGGGGAGAGATTTCATCCTAAATTAAGTGCACACTATTAACTGCACAGCAGGGAAACCCTGTAAAGCTCTCCCGCACAGCCGAGCCGATGGTTGTCGTGCTAGGGGTCTGCGGGAGAAAGGGGGCCCCGGCTCGGTGACGTCCTAGTCGTCAGTGCTCAAGATGAATAGTTTTCGTAATGGGCAAGTGAGTATGCCGAGGGACACGCTGCATCAAATCGACAACGAGCATACTGAATCACCGCCTTGATATGGGCATGACAACGACGATGACGAAGATGAGCCTGCCAATCTGAAGTGTCCCATGCGGAGCGATTGCGGTTTGAGCGGGTCCAAGTCGGAGTGATTTCCCAGCCCTTTCTTTGCGGGGCGGAATGATTATCACACCGCTGTAGATATACACTATTATGCTAGAGCCACGCGCGCCCTTCGCGCGCTTAAGTCCTACCCAGGCACAGGGACCGGATGCGTCGCGAAGCGAATGAGGTGGGGAGCGGTTGCAGGAAAAGCGGTGGATAACTGGTGACTCACTGAGGACTGCCAGGCATATAATCCACCCAGTGGCCCTCGTAGCCATCGGCCCTCTCGATGAGATGGAGCAACAGCAGCGTGATAGCGAAAAGCTCGCGGCCAGAGCGGGAATGGTTAGGCGGAGAAGTCCCCCTCGAACCTCGATCTTCGAGTCACCCGGCTGCACCCCCCAGCAGCCTCGAAAGTGGCGACATGTTCGCAGATTGCAGCCCCCCAGGATGGCCAGGTAGGAGGCAAGCTGGCACGTAGGAAGGAGCGAGGTGAGAGGCAGGCGAGAAGAGGAGAGGAGGAGGGAGGCGGGAGAAGGAGAAGACGCGCGGGCAGTGTTCGATTCAAAACGAATACCCAACGCAGGAGGGTTGGGAAAAACTGCCTCCAAGACGCCCCCGAGACGCCTCCCATGAGACCCCACCAGAGGGCCAATGAGGCCCCCAAGACGGCCCCAGAGGGCCCCAAGAGGACCCCCAAGAGCGCCTCCAGAGGCTAAACAGATTATTGTTTTCCCGTTCGTTTTTGAAGGATCTTAGCGTTCTTGTTTTTCTCTACCTAGGCTCTGCCTAGAAGGGTTCTTACTTTCGAACTTAAAAGGGCCGGGCAGTGTAAAACGCCCTGGGCGGTTCCCCCCGGCATCCGCCCCGAGGTTCCCCCAGACACGTCCCCTTAGCTTAGCGTTGCTTATCTCATCTTAGCTTCGCCTAGCTTAACTTAGCTTAGCTTAGCTTGAGCTTTGCCTAACCTAGCTTAGCGTAGCTTAGCTTAGCCTAGCCTAGCTTAGCTTAGCATAGCTCAGCTCAGCTTAGCTTAGCGCAGCATTAACACATCATAGCATAGTATACCATAGCATAGCGCAACATAGCATAGCACATCATAACATAGCATAGCACAGCACAGCATAGTATAGCATAACATAGCGCAGCATAGCATAGCATAGCATAGCATGGCATGACATAGCATAGCTTAGCTTAGCTTAGCTTAGCACAGCGCAGCATAGCATAGCATAGCATAGCGCAGCATAGCATAGCAAAGCATAGCGCCGCATAACATAGCATAGCATAGCATAGCATAGCCTAGCCTAGCCCAGCATAGCATTGCGCAGCATAGTATAGCATAGCATAGCAGAGCAGAGCATAGCGCAGCACAGCATTCACTATTGCTGCTGCTGCTATATATATATATATATATATATATTGCTACAACTACGACGATGAGGAGAAGGAGGACGGCGTTTACCGCTCCTACTAATGTTGCTATCCCAGAGGCTCCAACTCCTAGGTAGGGTCGCACGGGGATAATTTCTATCCTGAAAGGCCCATGACGGCCCAAGCAGCCTCCAAAATGGCCCCAGGACGGTCCCCAAGAGGACCCCAAGACGGTCTCAAAGGGTCCCCAAACGGCGTAAAGAGGCCCCCAGGACGGTCCAAGAGGCCCCCGACAGAAGCCGAGAGGACCCCAAGACGGCCCAAGACGGCCCAACAGGACCCCAAGAGAGCCCCACGGCGGCTGCGAGAGGCCTACAGGTATGCCTCGAAGGAACCAAGCGGCGCAAGAGTGCCGCAAGACAGCCCAAGACGCCCCCAAGAGGCCCCAAGAGGCACCAAATAATACCCCAAGAGGCCCCAAGAAGCTCACAAGAGGCCTCCAAAAGGCCCGAAAGAGGCTTCCACCAGGGCCCACAACGTCTGGTCCGCACGTGCTCCGGACGTGCACCCCGCGAAGCGAGAGGAATTTCATTAAAGAGTAAGGGTCACTAGTTGAAATTTCGCTGACCATGCCCTTCAATTCAACAAACATGTCCACAATCACAGGGTCAGGCAACGCATAGGAGGCGTACGCGCAGACAATACTGGTGAGGCTGAGGTCCCTTTCTCGTGCTGCGCGGAGGAGATCTGGGATATGCGGCGCAAGGGTCCGGAATATCTCGTCCGTCTGGAGATTCCGCTCAGTCATGCTCAGGCCGAACACAATTTCGGACAAATGATTGACTTGTTTATCCTTTATCAGATCCGGCAGGGCTTCCAGCACCGCAAGGGTTGCGTGCTCGCGAAGGAGGGCATGCTCGCCTGCGGAAAGGCCAGCGGAGACAACGCCGTCTAGGCGTCCCAGACTATAGATCACATTGCCCAGATAGTGTCCCCTCTCGGTCCAAACACTACGACTGATCTGGCGGTTCTTGAAACTGCTGCTCGACTTCCAGCCTGGAATGTCCTTCATCACCATGAAGAGCAGGTTTTTCCATGCATTCGTCTGCCCCGCCTGACTCGAAGCCTCGAAATCAACTCTTGACAGCCGAAGCAGGATCGATGCCCGGTGTAACATATCGGTGTCCTCATGCTCGAAGAGGCTGAAGAGCTCGTCACTCGTCATTGCGGCTTGGATGTTCTTCATCAGACTCGAGGGGGACATGCAGAAGCAACGCACATCTCGAGCATACCTCCGCTCCCTCAGAAAGCATCGCGGCCAGGCACCATGACCGCGAACTGGGTCGAGGGTTCTCCCATGCGGGCGACTCGCCGCCCTGCCCGCAGAAGCAGAGCTGCACAGGAACAGTGCTCCGTGGCTGCACACAGCAGCTGCGATGGCAGTGTAAAAGCATGTCAATGTTCCACCAGCACGCCGTCCACGGTGCAAAACCATTCGCGCGACAAGCAGGACGCCAACTGAGAAGAGCAAGCCTGGCCCGTGCATGCCTCGACACCTGAAACCAAACCGGCTTGGGCCAGCGCCGCTGGAGCCAAAACGGCGACGGACGGAAGAGGACATGGAGCAGACTGAGAAGCAGCAGCGCTGGGAGAAGGAGGAGGGATGGGAGAACAACAGAGGCCGAGGGGCCCCTGACCGATGCGGCTTGGTTCTTGCTTGCCTGCCACCCTCCCGGCGCCATGCCGCGCGAGAGCGGCGCTGGCCCAGGTCGCGCACGCCACTTCGCGCACCTCGCCCAGCGAGGCGCGGCGCGCGGGCACCTCCGCGCCGCCCACGCCGCTCCCTCGGAGAAGGCCCGGCGTTAGGTCGGGCGTGTCCCCCTGCAGGCGGATCTTGGACGAAGAATCAAGCATAGTCGACAACATTCAAAAAGAGCCAAAAAATAGGTGACAAATCTTCCCTGAGCCATGATTTGACAAGTTTTGAGCCGTCCTCCTGTAGAAGGGCCAGCCCGGCTTTTTAAGGCCAATGGCTCTGGCCCAGGCCGCGACGCGCGAACCGGGATTCTCTTGGCTTGGCTTGTGCTACTCCCATCCCACTTGAGGAGCGCATCCCAGAAATAGTCTCGAGCACCCGGAAGAGTGCCGGAAGAGTGCCGAAAGAGTGTCGGACGAGCGTCGGGCGTGAAAACCCCCGAGCTTCGGCACGCTTCTGGTGCCCCAAAACTCTCTCTGGCGATCGAGGCTAAAAGTAGGCTGGAGCATCACGAGGCTTTGGCGCCCAGCCGCGGGGGACCTCGGCTCTCCTGCCCACCCCCCGGCGCGCCGTCGAGGCGCCCGCCAGGGCCGCGGCGTGCGGTGGGCTTTTCGTGCCGTGGCGGGCGTCTGCGCTGCTCGGCCGCCAAATGCCGTCGCCGCCGACGTCGTCGCCCTTGCCGCCGTCGTCGCCGTCGTCGTCGTCGTCGTCGTCGCCGACGCCGCCGCCGTCGTCGTCGTCGTCGTCGTCGTCGTCGTCGTCGTCGTCGTCGTCGTCCGTGCACAGGAGGGCTCCGCGCCGGGGCGACCGGAACGTCTGCGCTGTTATGCCTGCGATGGGGCCGCGGGCCGTCCCTGCGATTGGGCACTGGTCTGTTCCTGCGGTTGGGCAATCTCGCCCTCTCGTGCGCAGCATCATCTGCACCGCCATGCCGCGGCAGACTGGCTTGCGCGACCGTCAGGTAGCACACAGACAGGCAGGCCAACCGAGAACAAAGCCAACCAATCCAGCAACACATAACACATCAAGAGAGAATCCCCATACTAAATTGAACATACAAACCGCCCATCTCAACTTACCAGGAGAACTCTGGAAAGTTGACCATGCCCCATATAAGGAAACGACTGCTGGTATATATATATATACTTATATACGCATGCACGTATATATATGTATATATACATGTATATATACACATGCGTATACATACATACATACAAACATACATGCATACACACATACATACATACATACATACATACATACATACATACATACATACATACATACACACATACATACATACCTGCATACATACATACACACCTACATACATACCTACATATATCTATACATGCATTCATGCATACATCCATGCATGCATACATATATACATACATACATACATACATACATACATACATACATACATACATACATACTTACTTACATTCATACATGCATACAGACATAATACGTACTTACTTACTTACTTACTTACTGACTTACTTGTTTACTTGTTTCCCGAATTACTTATATATATACATATATATATATATTCATACGTACATACATACATATATATATACATACACGCATGCATGCATACATGCATACATACGTACATGCATACCTCTTCCTATATGTTTGCGCACCGGGGGGGAAACCTCCCCGCCACCCCCACCCCCAAAACCGAACCCCCAGGACCCGGGGTTTCCAAGTCCCCGGGACATCCTTGCCAAGGGTCACCCCGCTTGTCCCGGACCTCCCAGAGCGCCTAGCCGGGTCTTGCCAGAGGCCCCAAGCGATCAGAGCGGTGATCAGAAAGGCCAAAGAGAGACCCCAGACAGCACAAGTGCGCTCCAAGAAAGACCCAGATAGCCTCCAGGGGTCCCCAAGACGGCCCAGGAGGCCCTCAACCGGACTTCCAGAAGGCAAAGTTCGCTTCATCCCCTTAGGGAAATTATCCCAGTGCGACCCTACCTAGGAGTTGGAGCATCTAGAAAAGCAACATCTACATCTACACCGACAGCTACATTGACATCTACACCTGCATCTACATTTACATCAACATCGACAGCGAGACTCACATCTACATTTACATCTACACCTACATCTACACCTACATCTACATCTACATATACACCTACATCCACATCTACACCTACATATACATCTACATCTACATCACTTTCGCATTGGTTTTGCTTTTGCTTTGCATTGCCTTACGTTTGGTTTTGCTGTTGCTGTTGCTATTGCTTTTGCTTTGCTTTTGTGTTTGATTGTGCTTGATGTTGGTGTTGATTTGATTGCGCACAGACAGACACACGCATGTTTTCGCTATGCTATGCTATGCTATGCTATGCTATGCTATGCTATGCTATGCTATGCTGCGCTGAGCTATGCTATGCTATGATATGCTATGCTATGCTATGCTGCGCTAAGCTATGATATGCTATGCTATGATATGTTATGCTGCGTTGTGATATGACGTGCTATGCTATGCTATTATATGCTATGCTATGCTATGCTTTGCTATGCTAATGCTGCGCTGCGCTATGCGATGCTGGGCTACGCCATGATGTGCTAAGCTTAGCTAAGCTAAGCTAAGCTACAGCTACGGCTACGCGAAGCTAATATTAAGCTAAGTTAAGCTAAGCTAAACTATGCTAAGCTAAGATGAGATAAGCAACGCTAACCTAAGGGGACGTAACTGGGGGAACCGCGGGGCGGATACTGGGGGAACCGCCCGGGGCGCTGTCCACTGCCCGGCCCCTGTAAGCCCAGAGAGTAAGAACCCTTCTAGGCAGAGCCTAGGTAGGGAACAAGCAACTTCAGCATCTGTTCGGGTCTTCGCAGCGTCCACAACAGAAGGCCTACAGTATCACCCCAAGACGACCCCAGAAGCCCACATGAGAGCCTCTAGACGGCCTGGATGGCCCCAAGACTGCCCAAGGTAGCTCCAAATGAACCAAAAAGAGACGCAACATGCCCCCAGAAGGCGCCCAAGAGAACCCCAAGAAGGCACGGGAGGCACCCAAAAAGGCCGTGGATGGCCACCAGGAGGGCCTATACGCACCCCAAGACTGCCCAAGGAAGCCCCAAAGAAGCCAAAAAGAAGCCCAACAGGCCCTCAGAAGGCGCCCAAGAGAAGCTAAAGAAGGCACGGGGGGCCCCCAGAAAGGCTATGGGAAGCCACCAGGAGGGCCCACGTAGCCCCCGTGATGTTCCTAGGGGACCCGAGCTCCCTAACACGGCCCAAGATGGCCTCAGAACGGCTCAACAGGGGGCCAAGCCGGCCCGCCCGGGCTCCATCAAGACCCGCACAGCATTTTCCCTAAAACTGACCCGAATCTCGGGTTCGCAACCACATTTCCCGAAAATCTGTTGCGAACCCTGGATTCGGTCCATTCCTTACGAATTTACTGACGTTCGCGTGCCCCGTTGCGACCCGCTGCAACATGACATCCTCGGCCTGGCATTGCTTTGCATTTTGCCATATTCCGTGACATTGCGTCGGTTTGCTTGGCATTCCCTCCCCCTGCTCCTCTGGGCCCTCCTCCTCCTCATCATTCTGCCACTCCACCACTCGTCCTCCCCCACATCCGCTTCCTTCCCTCGCTCTCGGCATTCCCCCCTCCTATCCTTCGCCCTCCACCCAGCGCCTTGCGGGGGCCCCTGGAGGCCCTGGAAGGGCCAGGGACCGCCCGAACTTTCGAAGACTTCTGCAAACCACTGCAGGGAAGGGGTCAAATTTCCACGGACACTAGGGATGGCGCGAACGACCACCATGTTCAAAAACTCAATGACCAAGGTGCATGGCGCGAAGCGCCAATGCAATCTTGTACTCACACACACACACATATATATATATATAAACATTCGTTTGGTCCATCCAAGTGGCATCAAGAGAGTCACAACTCGTGCTGCGAAATCCAAAATAAGTTAGCCTGGTGAAAGACCCAACCATATGGAGTTGTGAGTACCGCAATTGTAAATATCTTCTTCGGTTGCGATGCCTATGGGGCCACGAAGCGCTGTAGTGGGTGGGTAAAACGCAGGGAGCAAGGCCGTGTTGGGTGGTGGCGGACGCATGCGGGCGGTGCCACTGGGACCTTCCGAGGAGCTCCCTATGGGGCCACGAAGCGCTGTACTGGGTGGGTGAAGCGCAGGGAGCAAAGGCTGTGCTGGGTGGTGGCGGACGCATGCGGGCGGTGCCACTGGGACCTTCGGTGGAGCCCCCTATGGGGCCACGAAGCGCTGTAGTGGGTGGGTAAAACGCAGGGAGCAAGGGCTTTGCTGGGTGATGGCGGACGCATGCGGGCGGTGCTACCGGGACCTTCGGTGGAGCACCCTATGGGGCCACGAAACGCTGTACTGGGTGGGTGAAACGCAGGGAGCAAAGGCTGTGCTGGGTGGTGGCGGACGCATGCGGGCGGTGGCACTGGGACCTTCGGTGGAGCCCCCTATGGGGCCACGAAACGCTGTACTGGGTGGGTGCAACGCAGGGAGGAAGGGCTGTGCTGGGTGGTGGGGGACGCATGCTGGCGGTGCTACTGGGACCTTCGGTGGAGCCCCCTATGGGGCCACGAAGCGCTGTACTGGATGGGTGAAACGCAGGGAGCAAGGACTGCGCTGGGTGGTGGCCGACGCATGCGGTCGACCGAAGGCTACAGTGGCAGCGCCCGCGTGCCGCAACCATCCAACTTTGGTACGCCCCTCATACGTTTCGCGCCCCCGCAAGGAGCTCCATTGAACACGGTACTCAGGACTGCGGCGCTCACAACTGCATATGGTTAGGTCTTTCGCCAGGCTATTCAAAATGGGTGCACGCGGCAAACAGGCGAGAGCTACATTTTGAATACAACCCGCCCTCCATCCTTGAAGCTGTTGCAAGCTGTTGAAACGAATGTGCGCGGTGCTAAGGCGAAAACCATATGTTGAACAACAAGCCGATCTCCATATGTGAAGGTGTTGCAAGTTATAACACGAATGTGCGTGGCGCACATGCGAAAGCCACATGTTCAAAACAACTTGCCCTCCATTATGCACAAATCCCAAGGTTCAGGATCATGAATGGCAAGGATGTCTCAGGCGAACAGCCTGGCAAGCCCTGCCGACACGTCTGGGGGTGCGACGGGGAGGACTGTGCTGTTAGGGAAAACGCATGGAGGAGGAGGAGGAGGAGAAGAAGAAGAAGAAGAAGGGAGAAGGAAGAGGTGGAGGAGGAGGAGGTGGAGGTGGAGGTGGAGGTGGAGGAGGAGGAGGAGGAGGAGGAGGGAAGAGGAGGTGGAGGAGGAGGTGGAGGAGGAGGGAAGAGGAGGAGGAGGAGGAGGAGCTGGAGGAGGAGGAAGAGAAGGAGGAGCTGGAGGAGGCGGCAGGAGGAAGAGGAGGGAGGAGAGACGGACAAAAACCGAAGCGCACCGCCCCCGCCCCGCAGCCCCCGGCTGAGGCCTGGGCCCCGGCTTTGGGCGCTCGGGCTGCGTCCCCGGTGCCACCGGTGCTTGACACAACGTCGCCGGCGGCGGCGCCGCACGCCCCTCGCAGGCGCTGCCGCGGGGTGCCGACGATGCCGACGACGCCTGCGTCGTTGCCGCCGTCGCCGTCGCCGCCGTCGTCGTGTCGCCTCCGCCGCCGCCGCCACCTGCCGCCGTCGGCGCGCAGCGTCTTGCCGCCGTCGTCGCCGCGTCGCCGTCGCCGTCGCCGCCCTCGCTGCCGTCGTCGCGGTCTCCGCCGTCGCGGTCGCGTCACCGCCGCGGTCGCCGCCGTCGCCGCCGTCGGAGGTCTTGACAGGATGCCCCCGAGACTGCCCCAGGACCGCTCGGGGCCCCCCCTCGTGGAGGGGGGGCGGAGAGAACTCAGCTCCTCAGAGGCGGCCCTGCATGAGGCCCGTCCGGCCGCCCAAAGGCGGTGCAGTCCAGCCTCTTCGGGCAAGCACGGCAGAGCCAACGCGTCCGAGGCGGCCCCGGCGGGCCCCAGGCGACGCCGAGAAAAGCAGTGCGAGGCTCCGAAGAGGCCTGGAAGCTAGGGACACCCTGGCCCTGGGCTTCGACCTCTCCGGTGGCCTACATACGACTGACGCCCCCAAAACATGGGGACCCCCTTGCCTCTCCAGAGGCCGTTCCCAATCTCGGTTGTGGTGCCACCTTGTGAGCCTCCGATCATTCGACGGCGTCGGCTGAATGCACAGGGCCGCACACTTGGCCATCATGAACAAACGTGGGTAGACCCCCGGAGGCACCCAGAGCTCTTCCGGGGCCACATGGAAACCACACGCTCTGGAACACCTCCACCGTGGATGCGCGATCCTCGACCCCCGACCCTCGATTCGCCAGGAAGGAAAGGGATCCTGAGGGGGCCCTGGACCCCGTGGCTTCCCCAGGACTGGCTCATCCCGAGCCACTCGGTGATGGCCGGCCCGGGCCCGCGGAGGGCCCCAGGGGGCCCCGAGAACGGCAGAGCGCTCCCACTGCACGAGAGCGAACTGCACAGAAGCAAGCGTCCGAGGGCCCGCGCGGCAATTTGTGCACCTCCTCCTCGTCGCGCGGAGCGCGCCATGGACGGCGCTGCAAGGGCCGCCGGGGGGGGGGGGGGGGCACGCCCACGCCGAAGCCCGCCCGCGCCCGCGCCGTACCCACCCTCGCTCCCGCCGCCACACCCACGCCCACGCCAGGCGCTGATCCACCAAGATCCGCGCAGGGCCTCCGCAAGCTCGCGCTCGTGCAGCTTCCTCCTCCTCGAGCCCAGAGACCCCGACGACAGCCACAAAAACACTCCCAGGGCCCCCCCCCCACACCCCCTGCAGCAGGCGAGGGCGAAGGCGCGGACCCAGAGGGCGAGGACGAGGGCGGAAGCCCGCGATGCCCGATCCCCCCGCCGCGATCGTCTCCGCGACTCTGGAAGATGTTCACCGGACGAATAACGGTATTAGATTCGCGCGGCGTCGGCGCGCGAACAGCACTTTTTTGACACCGCGTCGATCGTTCAACCTTGAACCGATCGCGGCCCCGATCGTTCAAGGTCGAATTCCGTGCCGTTACCGTGCCCCTCAATGGTTCCGCGTCGTTCGATCATGCGGAATTCAGCCTTGAACGCATTCGCTGGCGTCGCTGGCGCGCCATCGCCGCACAACCCTACCGTAAACTGTTCCGCCGTCGGGGACGCCTGTCCCAGGGTGGCTGCACGTAGTAAGTGCATGCCCACACGGTGGCACGTCAAGGCGTGCAAGGTTTCCAGCCGCTTCTGGGGTGGGCGATCCCGACGGCGACGGCGAAAACGACGACGCCTGACGAGAGCGGCGACGGCGACGGCGACGGCGACGGCGACGTCCGTTGGGAGGGGCGGGGTGCGCCTGTGCCTTCGCGGGCGCCGTCCATCGCAGCGCGCGCGCGCGGCTCCCGGAGGGCCGCCCGGGCGGGGCCCGAGCACCGCAGGCGCTCGAGCCGGGGAGGCCCGGGACCTGGCCTCCGACCCGCCGCGTGAACCGCTCGGCCCTGGGCGATGCCTCCCGCAGATAGCCGGCGGCGAGGGGCCCAGATCCCCGACGATGTATGATGTGTTCTGCTCGGGGCGGGAGGCTTTTCCTCGGCTTCGGCCCCCGAGGAGGAGGAGGAGGAGGAGGAGGAGGAGGAGAGAGGAGGAGGAGGAGGAGGAGGATGGAGGAGGATGAGGGAGGAGGAGGAGGAGGAGGAGGAGGAGGAGGAGGAGGAGGAGGATGGAGGATGGAGGAGGAGGAGGAGGATGGAGGAGGAGGAGGAGAAGGAGGAGGAGGGAGGAGGACGTAGGAGGGGATGGAGGAGGATGACGAGGAGGACGCAGGAGGACAGAGCCAAGTCGATGAGTCGGGTCGGCCGCCAAAACGGATCGGAGCGGCGGACGTCGGCGGCCGAGTCGGGAAAAGTCGGGCCGGCGGAGACCGGCAGGCCCGCGGTCGGCGCCCGATGAGGAATCGGAGCCCACACCGGCATCCCAAGCCGAGTTGGGTCGGAATCGGAAGCCACCGAGCTCGAACCGAATCGGATCGGAATAACTCATCGAAGCGAGCCCTGCTCGGGTGCCGTCATCGGGTTCTCGGCCCATCAGAAATGGAGCCGGGGCGACAAGCTATCCCCGGCGAAGGGGTCCGGGCCTCTGGGGCCGCGGGTCGGAACAAAAAACGCACGCATCGTCAGACGCCAAGGGGACGACACGCTCACAACCCCGGGGCGCCCGCGCGGGGGTCGCCGCCGCGTCTCTGCGCGGCAAGAGCCTGCGCGCACACGGGGTCGGAGGATTTTGGGGGGCTTCGAGATGGGCACCAACACCGACACAGGGGCTCGCCCCTACTAGCGGAACGTGCTCCCAAGGGCCGAGCATGGCTAGAAGGGCCGCAGACGGGATCGGAGGGGCCTGGAGGCCTCGAAATGGGCACCAACACCAACACGCGGGCTTGCCCCCACCAGCGGAAGATGCTCCCAGGGGCCGAGCGTGGCTAGAAGGGCCGCGAATGGGATCGGAGGGGCCTCGGGGCTTTGAAGCTGGCGTTGGCACCAACACCGACACACGGGTTCGCCTCCCCCAACGGAATATGCTCCCAGGGGCCGAGCGTGGCTAGAAGGGCCACAAACGGGATCGGAGGGGCCACAAGGCTTCGAAATTTGCAACACCGACGCACGGGCTTGCCTCCACAAGCGGAATATGCTCCCAAGGGCCGCAAGCGGGATCGGAAAGGCCTCGAGGCCTCGAAGTGGGCACCAACACCGACACAGGGGCTTGCCTCCACCAGCGGAAAATGCTCCAAGGGGCCGGGCGTGTCTAGAATGGCCGCGACCGGGATCGGAGGGGCCTGGCGCCGCGAAGTGGGCACCAACACCGACACAGGGGTTTGCGTCCACCAGCGGAAGATGCTCAAAGGGGCAGGGCGTGGGTAGAAGGGCCGCAGACGGGATCGGAAGGGCCTGGAGGGTTCGACATTGGCACCACCACCGACACAGGGGCCTGCCTCCACCAAGGGAGGATGATCCCAGGGGCCGGGCGTGGCTAGAAGGGCCGCACACGGGATCGGAAGGGCTTGGGGGCTTCGAGCTCGGCATCGACACCGACACAAGAGCCTGTTTCCACCAAGGGAACATGACCCTAGATGTCGGACCGATCGGCAACCCGACGATTGCCACCGCCACCGAGATCGGGTCATCTTCCCTCGGTGGAAGCGCGATCGGACCTACGACAGACAAAACATCCATCCTGCAAGAACATGAGACCCTCCGCCAGCCAGAACGAAGAGCATTCCAGGGCACCCTCGCCCAGGATGCACAAGAACATCCAGCAGAAGCGACGAACATGCGGGCACACTCCCCGAATCGACCTCGATCTCCTACCCCGGTCCGACTGTACACCGCCGATATTGTCGTTGGTGTCAACTTCTGCTGGGTGCGACAGTTTGCACCCGTGCGTCCTGCGGGGGAGAGACTCCGCCTGCTTGAAACAGGCGACGACGACGAACCCTCTCCCTTTCAGCGCGCTCGGCGGCGGGCCCGCGGTGCCCGCGGTGCCCGCACCTCGCTCTCTCAAGCAAGCAAGCAGCTGCGGCGGCGGAGCGCACGACAGTGAAGGGGCCCAAGGACACACAAATAATTACACACAAATCCAAGGATTCCCCATACTTTCCCATGTTCCCTGGGTTTCCGTCTTCCCCCCCCCCCACTTCCCACATTTTTCCTACATGTTCTGGCAATCGACGACTGATTGTGTCTGTGTGTTCTTCCCCCTCCTGAGATAGGGCGGCGGGAAGCGAGCAGGGAGAGAAGAATAACAAGTCATGGGCGTTGGTGTCCACCTCGGGGCCCCTGGGCATCGCGCCGAACAGCCGGTTTTCATCGAGAGCAGGCCGCGCCCGCGGGCAGGGCGCCCGGGGGTCCTGGAGGGGCGGGCCCGCGATCCTCCCGGCAGTCGCTAGCGGCCCCCGCGGGGGCCCGCCCCGAGCGCGACGGCGAACAGCAGCCAGCAGAGGCCAGGGATGAAGGGGCCCAGGGACACACAACTCAGAGCTCGCACGCACACACACAAACAAATGCCAAGTTTCCCTCAATTGCTCCACATGTTCTGGAGTCTCGTCCTCCCCCCCCACTTCCCGCGTCTTCCCACATACTCTTTTTTGTTCCCGGGGGGCCCACGGTGCACTGTGTCTGTGAGTTGTTGCCCCCTCCCGAGGAGAAGCGACCATGCCGTCGCCGATCACCGGGGATCGGAGGGAGGTGTGGCCGGGAGTGCCCCGTGCCTTCTCAATCTGCTCCGGCGCGCCCCGCCGCTGTGCGCACGCCGTCCCGCCGCGATGCCCTAAAAATCGTCCCCAGACTATTATTGGGCTGTTTTTGGATATTCCTCCTGGCCCCCAGGATTTCCGAGGAGGTCCCCGCGGCCTCCAAAGAACCCCGCACGAGGCCCAGAGGGCCCCAGGGGCAGGATGATCCGGAATCGAATCGGAAAGTTGGATCGGCGATCGAAACGGATTGGATCGGCAGAAATCGGCAGCCGAGCCGGGAAAAGTCGAATCGGCGGAAATCGGCAGGCTAGTCGGCCTCCAATGAGACATCGGAGCCAAAATCGGAACCCGAAGCCGAATCGGATCGGAATCGGAAGTCACCGAGATCGAACCGACTCGAATCGGAGGAGTCGAAACGAGCCCTGAGCGGGCTCCAAGAATGAAGCGAGAAGCTGGGGGCACCTATAAGCCTCGTCAAAAATAAACAGAAACGCATTTGGCAATCACGACGGTCGATCTTCTCACGCACTTGTTTGAAACTGCGTTCTTCAATGCTGCGGAGGGGTCGTCGGATTTTTGAAGCCGTTACGTCCACGTCAGATATCTAGCGTCAGCATTGGAGTAGCGATGACCATACAATCACCGAAACGAGATTCCGTCAGTTTATTGTTGACGAGGGTTGTTCGCTTATTGGCTTCTAAGCCGTTTACTTTCGCTAATGCGCAGCGCGTGTCCGCCCGCTCGGCTGGAGAATTCGTTTGCGTTTAGCGACTAGCTTGCCGCCGCCCAGACAGCCGCCCACCCCTCGTCGCGCGGCGCTGAACTGAACAGATTCGGGGGGACGAGACAGATAAATCATCGGCATCGTCGTCTGCGCCATCGACACCTCAGCCATCGACGCCACAGTCACCTGGTGTAAGATCACGGGTAGACGTTCCAATGTTATGGAAGTTTGTGCGTCTGGGAGCTTTCGCGCGATTCTCGGCGTCCGCGGTGGCGCAACAGTTAGCAAATCGCTAGGTCGACAACGCGGAAGACCGTTTAGGTCGTTGAATCGGATACGGCACAGCTTGGGAGAAGGAGTTCGTGCAAAATCACGGGTAGACGTTCCAATGTTATGGGAATTCTTGCGTCTGAGAGCTTTCGCACGATTCTCGGCGTCCGCGGTAGCGTAACAGTTAGCAAATCGCTAGGTCGACAACGCGGAAGACCGCGTAGGTCGTTGAATCGGACACGGCACAGCTAGGGAGAAGGAGTTCGTGCAAAATCACGGGTAGACGTTCCAATGTTATGGAAATTTGCGCGGCTGGGAGCTTTCGCGCCGCCGCCGCCCAAAGGGGGGCTGCTGCGAGGAATGATGGCGGGTATTTGTCCAACTGCCCCGCCGCCGCCCGCTGGGCATGCGCTTTGATGTAGCGCGGCGAACACCGCAGTCACTTCGACTTACTATTTGTGCAACAACTACCCGCCCTTGCCCACCAGAATGTATTTTGTGCAAGGGATTGTGGCCGGGTAGCTGTTGGCACTTACCAACAGCTACCCGGCCGCCGCCCACTCGGATTGCATTTTTATATAGCACGGCGGTCACCGACGTCACTTCGACATATTATTTGTACAACAACTACCCACCCATGTCCACCGGAATGTATTTTTTGTCACGTAAGATTGCCGGGTACTTGGGTAGTTGCAGATTTTAAAAGAAACGGAAAGGGGGGCCTTCTTATTCTTTACCTTTAGAAAATTGCAACTACCCAAGCACCCGGCAATAAGCCGTGACAAAAATACACTCCGGTGGACATGGGTGGGTAGTTGTTGTGCACATAATATGTCGAAGTGACGTCGGTGACCGCCGCGCTATATAAAAATGCAATCCGAGTGGGCGGCGGCCGGGTAGTTGTTGGTTAGTACCAACAACTACCCGGCCATAATCCTTTGCAAGAAAATACACTCTGGTGGGCAAGGGTGGGTAGTCGTTGTACAAATAATATGCCGAAGTGACTACGGTGTATCAAAGCGCATGCCGAGTGGACGGCCCCCAGGTTGCCGCGGGGGGGTCCAGGGGCGGCTGCCAGGTTGCCGCGGGGGGGTCCAGAAGTATATCTCCTTGATAGGACCAAGTAGATCGGTGCCTCCCCCCCGCCGTCGGCCGCGCCGCCGCCGCCGGCCCCGCGCGTCTTCCGCGGCCGCCGCGCTCGAGTTTCTTGGGTGCCGCGCGGGGCAGTTTAGCGCGATGTACATTGCACCGCGCAGATGGTGCCAAGATAATACAAGAACCTACTGTCTAGGGCAAACGTTGATTTTTAAAGCGGCCAAGCCTCGTCAAAAATAAACAGAAACGCAATTGGCAATCACGACGATCGATCTTCTCACGCACTTGTTTGAAACTGCGTTCTTCAATGCTGCGGAGGGTCGTCGGATTTTTGAAGCCGTTACGTCCACGTCAGATATCTAGCGTCAGCATTGGAGTAGCGCTGACCATACAATCACCGAAACCAGATTCCGTCTGTTTATTTTTGACGAGGGTTGTAGGTTTATGTTCCAACCTACTTGTGCCTTGATCACCCGAACGACTTTCGAGCACTAGGAAAGTAGCGAAACTGGAGGGTTTTCATGCGTCGGGCCTTGGGAGGCGATACTCGTTCGACACTTGTTCTATACTTTTCTGAGTGCCCGATTTTTTTTTTGCGATCTGGTCCCTAAGTACGATGGGAACAACATAAACCTGGGGCACCTGTCGAAGCCCCCCGAGAGGGGGGGGGGGGGGGCGCCCCACTGCCGATGCGGCGGGGAAGGCCGGGTGATCGGGCGGCGCACCGGGGGGTGGGGGGAGCGATGATGATGATGATGATGATGATGATGATGATGATGATGATGATGAATGATGTGATGATGATGATGATGATGATGATGATGATGATGATGATGATGATGATGATGATGATGATGATGATGATGATGATTATGCTGCTGCTGCTGATGATGAGGAGGAGGAGGAGGAGGAGAAGGAGGAGGAGGAGGAGTGGGGGGCGAAGGGAGAGAGAGAGAGAGAGGTGCACCTCCTGTGCCATATAGGGGGGGCACGTTCCCAGACATGGTCGCGTCGTGATCAGATCGAGGCGGGAGGCTGTTCGCTATTCTTGGCCTCGGAGGGCCCTCGCTGGGCCTCGGGCTCGTCGGAAAACGACTCGGGACGGAAAAGTGGTCCCAGGGAAAGGGTCGGGACTTCCAAGGACGCCGCACTGAAAAAATCAGGACGTCGCATCCCGAACATGCGAGGTCCCGATTGTTTCAAGACCGCGCCCCTGGAAATCCAGGCCTTTTCCTCGGGGCCGGTGCTTTTCATCCTGCACCACTCGTTTTTGGACGGTCCCGGGGCCCGGCGAGGGCCCCCCTATAGGGCCGAAAGGCTGGCCGGTGCTTTTCATCCTGCACCACTCGTTTTTGGACGGTCCCGGGGCCCGGCGAGGGCCCCCCTATAGGGCCGAAAGGCTGGAAGCTGCGCCGTCCTGATGATTTTTGGGGGCGACGCTATCATGTCTGGGATGTCTGGGTTAAGTCGGGCGTGTCCCCCTACAGGGGGATTTCGGGCGAAACACTCAAACATACTCAAAAAATGCCCCCCAAATGGGCAAAGATAGGAAAGAACTCGTCCCCAGACTTTTTTTGTTGACTATGTTTGCACTTTCCTTCTGTAGAGGGACGTCCCGACTTCAGTCTGGGCTGCTCCCCCCCCCATCACGCAGCGCCCGACGGGGCGGAGGACGTCGAGCTCGGGGGTTCGTCGGGGTGCTGCGTCGCCGAGGCACGTCGGCGCGTCGCCGGGCGCGCGACGCCTCTCGGGCCTCCGAGGGGCTGCGCGGGCCCCGTCCTCCTCCTCCTCCTCCTCCTCCTCCTCCTCGTCCTCCTCCCTCCCCTCCTCCTCCCTCGTCACTCCTCCTCCTCCTCCTCCTTCTCCTCCTCCTCTCCTCCTCCTCCTCCTCGTCCTCCTCCCTCCTCCTCCTCCTCCTCCTCCTGCCTCCTCCTCCTCCTCCTCCTCCTCCTCCTCCTCCTCCTACCAGGGCTGGCCCGCGTCGCCGTCGCGCAAGGAGCCGCCCTGGGCGGAGGGGACCCTCCGGGACTTCTTTACCATTCATAGTCTTGTAGTTGGGAATTGCAGCAAGTTTACTTGCATGGCGTTCGCCCCCCCCCCCCCCCCCTCGCCCCTCTTCAAGCGAATGCTAGCGTGCAAGTGCCTTTCGACTTGCGTGATTTCCGCGCCCCCCCGAACGTGCAAGTCGTTTGCGGCTTGCTTCAGGCTCAGCCCCCCCCCAGTCCGTGCAAGTAAACTTGCCAGAGTCTAATTTTTAAAAAAAACAGGCCCCTGGTCCACGGCGATGTTGGGCATCCGGCTTCTGCGACGCCGGGCTCGCGCGGAGCAAGTGGTGGGAAGTCACGAACCACGCTTTCCTTACGTCTCAAGTGTGCGAGTGTATGGAGCGGAAACGACGCCGCGAATTGCAGGAAAGCGCGGACCACGATGTCCTACGACTGGGTTGGCCACGAGGTGCTCCCACCTACAATGCCGAAGCCTACATCGCCGTTAGCGCGTCTGCGGTCTTGGACCAGAAAACCACCCGCACCACCCCCCCTACGGCCCCACGGGGCTTAGCGTACACCGCCAAACCTGGCGTGGGCTTTCGCGTGGTGTGCAGTATGCGCCACGGCCCTCCCTATGGGCCGTCGCGCAACATGGAGGGCCGCAGGTCGGGTGGCGTCGGCTGCTTTTTGGTCGAGCCTTGGGGAGGCACGAGAAAGGGGGGTGCAGACCCGAACGCGCAAGCAGCTGCTGTCGCATCGCGTTCTGCGACTGGGAAACCGCAGTGGGTCCGCCGAGCGCGCAAGCAACGATCGGGGGACCCCACTGGGGCCCGCACCGTTGGGGCAACAGATCTCCCGGATCTCTCCCAAGCGCGTTCTGCCCAGGAGTTCGACAAGAATCCAGCCGTGGCGACGAGGGACAGGCAGTGAGATCGGCACAGTGGATGCATACAGTAAGAGATCTTGCCGTCAGGCACCGAATGCTGCATTGCTCGGTCGATTGTGGAGCTCGCGGGAAGCCCATCAGTTCCCCTGGGTGCCCAGGGCCGTCGAGGAGCCGGAACGCTCCGCGGGGCACCTGCTTGCAGGCTGGTCTCCCACCCTGCACGCCTGCTCTATACCTGCCCCCCCTCGGAACCACTGGTGGGGTCCGGCCCTATCCACTCGGCCTCCCATCGGGCGCGACTCAATGGGGGGCGATCAAGTATGGGGGAAGAATGGTGCCATTTCCGGCCCCTGATAGTCCCATGCAAGGGCGGCCCCATTTTCGGCTCCTAAAAGCTCCTTTAGGGGCCCTGAAAGGGCCCCTTTTCGGCAGCCCTCGCCCCCCCCTTTCATCGATCGACCCCCATTCTACGCGCCTTCCGGGGCCTGGAACCACGGGTCGCTCCGGCAGAGGGCCACTCCTGCGCGCAGCCAGCTGGAGCCCTCCCCTCCTGCCGAGGCGCGCGCGCGCTCGCTGGCCTTCGTAGAGAAAGGGAGAAAACGCCATACGCATAAACTTCTGGCGCGCTGCACGGATTTCTTGGAGCTGCGCTCCACTGGCGCGCGGAGCGCGGCGCCGGAGGGGGGGAGGGGGCACGGTGGAGGAGCTGGAGGAGGGAGGAGACGGAGGATGAGGAGGACGACGAGGAGGACGAGGAGGAGGAGGAGGAGGAAAAGGGAGGAGGGAAGGGAGGAGGAGGAGGAGGAGGAGGAGGAGGAGGAGAGGCTGGGTCCCAGCGCAGATCCAAGAAATCCGCGCGGAGCACCAAAAGTTTCTGTTTATGGCGATGTGTTTTTCTTCTTCGACTTTGGGGCCTTTGGACCAAGGGGCCTCGGCGGCGGAGGCGCGCACTCCTCCTCCTCCTCCTCCTCCTCCTCCTCCTCCTCCTCCTCCTCCTCCTCCTCGTCCTCCTCCTCCTCCTCCTCCTCCTCCTCCTCCCTCCCCTCCTCCTCCTCCTCCCTCCTCCTCCTCCTCCTCCTCCTCCTCCTCCTCCTCCTCCTCCTCCCCCTCCTCCTGCCCCTCCTCCCCTCCTCCTGCCCCTCCTCTCCTCCTGCCCCTCCTCCTCCTGCCCCCCCTCCTCCCTTCGTTTTCCCCTTCCTCTTCCGTGTGTAAATAAATAAGGAGCCGAACTCTATACACCGACGCTTTTTCTGGCCCCGCACCGAAACTCGCACAGGAAAGCGGATCCTGGTGTGTACGGGGTTTGGGTGTATACATGTTTCGCTGCTTCCCCGGGGAAGCGAGGAAAAAAGTATACACCACACCACCCCGACGTCGCCTTCGACCCTCAAACATTCCTGGGATTGCAAAACAGCCCGCCACTGGCAACGTAGATGCTCCAGTGTCCGCAAAACCCCTCGCCCTCTGACCACCCAGGAGGTGTCGGCAGGGCGGGCCGGACGCTCCGCCTCGACCCTCCCTTCCCGCGGGTGACGCCGAGGTGCCAGAGCTTCTCCAGCCGCTGCGAAGACGGGTGGGGGGAGGTGCAGCTTGCAGAACGCGGCGCTCGCCGTGGCGCCTGGCACGTTGGCCCTCCAGACAAATCCGGCAGGTGCACGGATGGAGGGGCGGTGGCTTTCAACGACGGATTGCGTGGATGGAGAGCGGCTCTTCTTCAACATACGACTCTCGTTGCCCGACAGTCATCTACACGTCGTTCATGTCTAATCGTGCTCACCTCTAATTGTGCTCGATCCTACTTGCTCCTGGTGGCCAGGAAGAGGCCCAGGACAGAAGAATCAGAACTGAAAAGATCTCGGCCCCCCCCCAAAATAGAACTCTAGCATACTTAAAGGTGAACAAGGTGTACATGGATGGAGAGCGGCTCTTCTACGGCACACACGGCTTCCGTTTCCTGGCCATCCTCTGAACCCGCGCAGGAAAACGGCTCGAATGGAGGACGGCTCCTGCTCACAAGAACCCCACACAGGCCCTTCAGGGCGGGAGCGGTTTAGGGTGAGGTCGGGCCCTGTCCCCCTTACAGGCCGATGTTCGAGGAACAGTTCAAAATAGCAAAACACATAAAAACACAAGTGTCAACAAGATGCTCAAAACATCGTCCCCCAACTATTCTTTACTAGTGTGGAACATTCCTCCTGAGGAGGGACAGGCCCTACTGAAGTTTAGGGAGTCTCCTCTTCCGCCCCCCTTGCTTCCCCATTCGGGGAAGGGTGCACTCTTCCCCGGGCCCCCTCCCCCTGGACCTGGAGGCGGGGGAGGCGGTGGGCCGATGGAGCGTCGAAGATCACCTCGACGGAAGGACGACAACCATTGGTTTGCCTCCTTTGAGGCCCACCCTGGCCTCCTGGGAGGGAGACCTCTCATTGAGTGCCCCCTTCTGTGATCGACCTCCTCCAAGATGGCCCCAAGATGGCCCAACATGCTCCCAAGGGGGCCCAAAAAGGGCCCCAAGAGCCCAGGAGGCCCCAAGAGGCCCCAACGAGGCCCCAAATATGCTCCCAAGAGACCCCCAAGGGGCCCCCAGAGGCTCCGACGCACCCAATATGCTGGAAGAGGCCCCAAGGATCTCCAAGAAGCCCCCAAGATGCCCAAGGACGAGCCCAAGAAGGTCGCAAAAGACATCCGAAAAGACTCCGAGAAACATCCAAAGGGCCTCTGGCCATTCCGCTCGCCCTCCCGCCCTCCCCCTCCTCCTCCTCCTCCACTTCCTCCTGCTCCTCCTCGTCCTCGTCCTCCTCCTCATCCTCCTCCTCCTCGTCGTCCTCCTCCTCATCCTCCTCCCCGTCCTCCTCCTCCGCTGTCTTCTCCTCTTCTTTTTCCTCCTCCTCCTCGTCCTCCTTCTCCTCCTACATCCTCTATCCTCCATCCTCCACCCTCCACCCTCCATCCTCCATCCTCCATCCTCGTCCATCCTCCCCCCCTTGGGGTATGACCTCTTCCCTTGCCCGCTGTTCCACTACCTGCTCCTCCACTTCCTGATCAGTGCAGCTCGCATGGGCATCGTTTCTAGATGGGCTGGTCGGGTTTATCAAAGCGTCTAGAACTGAAGAGCTGTTGCACGAGATAAGGGTGGCTCTGTTTCAAAGCGGGACTCTTGCTAAACACTTCTTGGGAATCAGTGATGCTACCTCGTCGCTGGGTGCATAGCGAGAAGCATGGACGACAGCTCTTCAAAAAGTGCTCTTGAATGAATTGCAAACCACGGGCCGCTCGTCGCTCCAGGGGGGGGGCACTTCCGGCAGCATCAACCAATTATTGTAGGAGTTTGTAAGGAGTGAGCTTGGGACGGGTGGGCGTGTGTACAGCATCGTTGATGCATCTTGAGTCCAATATGGTCTTCAGCCTCCCCTCTCGGATCTCTTCTCCTCTTCCTCCTTAGGCGCCTCATTATCCTCCTCCTACTCAGTTCTCTTCCGGTAATCCTACCCCCCCTCCTCCCTACATTTCTCCATGAACCTGTATCCCCCTCCTTCTACTCTTCCTCCACGTTATCCGCCTCTCCGTGGTCTCCTCTTCCTTGCCCGTATTCCAAATTCGTGCTTCCCACCCTGCTCCTTCTGCAGCTCCTGATCGTTCCCAACCTCCTCTTTATCTTCCCTCTCCTCGTCATCGTCCTGGCTCCCCTCTTCATCATCATATGCTCTCCTGCACGCCCGGCCCGTTCAACCTCACACTCCGTCTCGGCCTACACCTCCTGCCACATGTCCAGTCACTCTGTGCCCCTGTGGCCCCGTCGATTGTAGACACCCTGACAGCCCTGGCAGCACGTACCAATCCTCCTCCTCCTCCTCCTCCTCCTCCTTCTCCTCCAACTGCTCTTCCTCCTCCTCC